GAATGGCAATTTATGAATGAATGCATGATGACATGATGCTGAATGAATGTAATGAATGACTGACTGCATGAATGAATAGACTGAATGAATGAATGCATTATGATGAATTATGACATGCATGAATGACCTTGACTGGCTGACATGAATGACTGATGAATGAATGCATATGAATGATGCATGAATGATGCATGATGAATGACTTACTGATGCCTGCTGCCATTTACTGACTGAATGGACTGACTGGCAATGCATCCATGCCATGCACGTGACCTTTCCATCCAATCATTCCATCCATTCGATTAATCCATTCCAACATCCATCCATCCATCCATCCATCATCCACCCATCCAGCCATCCATCCATCCATCTATAATCCATCCAACATCCATCCATCCATCCATCATCCACCCATCCATCCATCCATCCATCCATCTATAATCCATCCAACATCCATCCATCCATTCATCCATCCAACCATCCATCCATCCATCCTTCATCCATCCATCCATCCATCATCCATCATCCATCATCAATCAAACTTCATCATCCATCCTCCATCCAAACATCCACCATCCCATCCATCCATCATCCATCCCATCCATCCCTCATCTAGAAATCCATCCAACATCCATCCATCCATCCATTCCATCCAACATCCATCCATCCATCCATCCATCCATCATCCATCCACCATCCATCCATCCATCATCCATCCATACATCCATCATCCATCTATAATCCATCCAACATCCATCTATAATCCATCCAACATCCATCCATCCATCCATCATCCATCTATAATCCATCCAACATCCATCCATCCATCCATCCATCCATCCATCCATCCATCCATCATCCATCTATAATCCATCCAACATCCATCCATCATCCATCCATCCATCCAACATCCATCCATCCATCCATCCATCCATCCATCCATCCAACATCCATCCATCCAACATCCATCTATAATCCATCCAACATCCATCCATCCATCCATCTATAATCCATCCAACATCCATCCATCCATCCATCCATCCATCATCCATCTATAATCCATCCAACATCCATCCATCATCCATCCATCCATCCATCCAACATCCATCCATCCAACATCCATCTATAATCCATCCAACATCCATCCATCCATCCATCATCCATCTTCCATCCATCCACTCATCCATCCATCCATCATCCATCCATCATCCATCCATCCATCCATCCATCCATCCATCCATCCATCCATCCATCCAACCATTCTTCCTTTCTGGTAGAACCTCTCTTATCTTTCATAATCAGACCTCCTGATCATCTGGTTCCATCCAGGCTCTCATTCTCTTCCTTCTTCAGTCTTATTTATCTTTGCTGTCGCTCTGCAGCTCTAATCTAAGTTTTCTTCTAGTATCTCCTGTATCTTGAAACACTGAGGATCCAGTCTGTCAGCTGGAGTGATCCTGTCTCTGGGTCTTTCCTTCCCTTCTGACTCGTTTCCTGTAGTTATGGTTGAATTTTGTCCACCTGACTGCAGCCTGGATCTTTTTGTTTATTGCTGTTCCTTGTTTTAAGAAGTTCCTCCTCCTTCCTGTGACTTCAGGGCTACAACATCATCTCAGTGCTGAGCCTGGAGATCGCTCCCATCATGGAGCTGCTGGCCTCCATGAAGTCGCACAGCGTTCCTGAGGACATAGACGTGAGCCACACGCAGACACGTCCCAGTTGGCCTCGATCTGGAGGACGCTTCATGATCTTATTGTTCAACAATCTGCTTTCACATGATTTCTGTTTTTATCTGATCTGGGTCTTTTTCTTGTTTGGTTCTCGCTGAGCAGATAAAAGACACCCTGCTAAATGATGATGACATCGGGGACAGCTGCCATGAGGGTTTCCTCCACAAGTAAGCAGTTCTCCTCATCCCAACGGAGACGGATGGCGAACAATGGCCATTTAACACCCGTCACCCTTCCAATGATGAGTGATGGAGCTGCTCCTAGCAGAGCTTCTCCACAGACAAAGGAGGAGGGGGCGGAGCTTTCTGGGCCTTTCTGATTAGTTCCTTCAAAGCTGAGTCCTCTGGCTTCAGTCTTTAACTGAAGATGCCTTTTTTTTTTCCTTTCCTAACTGCTTCCAATCCTTTCTCACACTGAGTTAAACTGTCATTGTAAAAAGCTGCAGCTCTTCATTCAACCGCATTAGAAACTAATTGGATCTAATTTTCTCTCTGTGTTTCAGAGCCATCAGCTCTCATCTACAGACGTGTGGCTGTTCAATCGTGGTGGGAAGCAACCCGGAGAAAGTAAACAAGGTGCATTTCACTGGAACCGACCTGAATTTATTTTGCAGTATTTAGAAAAACTTGTTTTTTTTCTTTACGTAGATCAGAATTAAACGGAGATTGTTAGCTTGACTAGTGCAAAATATAGATAGAAGTTTACCTACAAGGTGAATTTACATCAGCTGGTGACATTTAGCATAAGAACACAGTGATAAAACCGTGATAAACACATTCTATCAGCAGGAAATGGAAACCCTATCCAGGGACAGCGCTTAATGTAAGTGATAGCGGCGCATGGTGTGAACGGAAAAAATATGCATAATGTTTTTTTGTGCTTATATTCTATTCAGAATCAAAGTTCAAATGAGTTTAAAGGCTATATAAAGATGATTCCTTAGTTTTCTTCTAAACTCAATAGAAATATTTAGTTCTACATGTTTAAAAGGTCTCAAATGTTCATGATGCACTGCAGCACTAGAGGTTCATCTGGGTTTCAATGATCCGTGTTCAGGGTTTGTTTTTTTGTTTTGAACTCTTATATTAACATGTATACAGATTAAGCCTTATCCATTCGACATCTCATTTCATCACATTTATACAATTGTAATTTTATATATATATAAAATTACAATTCTTCCTTATAAACAATTCATCTACAGAATTATATATGTTGTTATGTTTCTATGAAGGGAATACCTCGGATAAATGTTGGCCCCCTGTATTAATATATGTTAACAACAACTATGAACTTTACAATCCACAATAATTAAAATGAAATTCACAGCAGCTGAAGAACAAACATAAAAAGTCCTCAATCTTCCCTTATGAGAAGCTTTTTAGGCGTCCAAACTAATCCGAAGAGAGGGTTGAGTTTCATCTGTGACTCCATAGAATTCTTCTAAAGATGTCCGCTGCCTGCCTGTCAGTAGAAATCAGGTTTGGTCTGGTTTGATCAATTAGTTTACCGTATTTTCCAGACTATAAACCACTACTTTTTCCCACACTTTGAACCACTCAGCTTATAACTATTGTTGAGCCAATGCCATTTTTCTGCCCTGATACCTGGCTGTGCCATCATGGCTTCATGTCAAGCTGCTGCCTTCCTTTGTGAAGCAGGAAAAAGACTAAAAGTGAATCCAGTAGAACTTTTTGTTGCCTACCTGGAATGGGTGACAATAGTTGAAGAAACTTATGGCTCTCAAAATGGTATCGTGCCCTATTGGTTGGTACTCGCCGATACCGATAAAACCATTTGAGTGCTGGATCGGGGCCCCGCCCGATACTGGTATCGGTATCAGTGCAACACTGATTACAGAACAACATTTGAAATTGCAGGCAACAGGCCCCCTGGTAATGAGAGCTTACTGTGTCCGACCGTCCGCCCTAACCCCTCAATCCCTCCATCACTATGTAGAGCGACTATATGGTGAACTTTATACTGAACTCAATTAACTTACCGTTCAGACAGATGATCACTATTTTTTCTGGGATATATCTGCCTCTTCTGAGGCGTTTCTTTTCTTCTCATACACTTCGTAGACACTTTTTCTCTTCCGACCCTCGGCCATTTTCAAAGAACCGCAGTGAGAAAGGTGAGCTTCAATGACTGTCTGAAACCGTAGCTCACCACAGATACACGCCTGAAAGTGCACAGAAAAGATGGCTAACGGGACGAGCACATAGGATGGCGTTACGTAAACATATCACCAGTATGATTGATAATTCTTATTTAGATGACTCACCTGGAAATAAAAGATCATCCTCTATACCTTTATCAGGGGTTGACGTGAAGGATTTTTACCACTTGCCGTTCGGGCAAGTGACTTTCACATTTCATTTGCCCAGAAACAATTTTTACTTGCCCAGTATAATGTTTGATAAATATAGTTCCTAATATTCATTTTGTATATATATCAATGAAACATGTTTGTTTTTTAAATGTTTTTTGTAATTCAGTATTTTTGAAGTTTCCAGGTTCCTGGTGTGTATCTGCATGCGTCAGATAATGAACTCCAGCCTACATTACCGTGTTAACATGCTTTTCAATCCTTCCTGCACATTCTTTTCAAACTAAACTTTGCTTTAAACTGTTGTGTGCTTGGAAAAATATAAATTGTAATGTTAAAAATCTAAAGAAAACTTGACAGGTTAAAAACTTACACTACTACTTCTCACCAATCTAACATGTTTAGCTCTATAACATTTAAATGCACCACTCCAGTGTCTAAGAGAAAAACATTTAATGAACATTTATGTTCAGGTCATGTATGACCTGCATCACTGTACAGAGGACTGCCATATGATAGAAATATTTACACTGTGCGCAAACAATTATTATTATTTTCCTAATCCCTGACTGATCATCTTTAATCTAGCGTGTATTATAGTATAGATTAAATTCATCATCCAGCTGCTGCTCTGCAGAATTCTCTCCCCAAGGAGAGAAAAATCAGGCCATCTAGCGGAAAATCACGCGGCTTTTTCAAATCACGCGAGAATGTGTACAAAACAAAGAAAATGGCGTCAGCAACGCTGTCGGTGATTTTAAAGTAATTTTGAGTGATAAATAAATTTATTTTGCGATGTACTCTCCTGACAATAAAAACTACTTGCCCCGGGCGATCGGACGATGGTTGACATCGAGCCCTGTTTAATATATTTCAAAATATTTAAATTTTATGATTTAATTGGTATTTTTTTTTTTTTTTTATGTCTTGATCAAGGTAATTGGGTGAGTGAGGCGGCGCCCTCTATTGGCCAGCCACCACTGCGTTGTTGCCCTCAAATGAGTGTCCTTTAGCCTTCAGGTGGAGGCGAACAGCTGCGTCCTGTCCTGAGGAGTCGGCCCTCCTGTGTTGTAGCCTGTGTGGCGTTGCTTGGTCTCTCCAATGTCCAGCTCGGTGCTCGCTTCACTACACTGAACAGCGTAAAACATGCTGTCTGCCTTTTTTCTGGGTGTCTTGTCTTCGGGGTGAACCAGTTTTTGTCTCAGGGTGTCGCCTGCAGGAACAAGTGTTGGTTCCTCACTGAGTGTTTAAAATCCAGCATATGGGGGAGAACGTGCCCTCTTAGCTGTTAGCGTAATTGGAATGGTTTGTAGCTTATTAACATTAAGTGGTTAACAGAGTAGAAGCTGCAGTTTGTTCCCTGAAAATGAGCAGAACCTGCTGAGCTAATCAGCTGGTTTAATGGTTGAATCATTAGTTGTTTCTCTGCTCCTCCTCAGATTGTCCGGACGCTCTGCCTCTTCCTCACCCCAGCTGAGAGGAAATGTTCTCGCCTCTGCAGGGCCAACTCCTCCTTCAAATACGACACGGGTCTGTTTGTCCAGGGTCTCCTGAAGGTAGCGTCCCGCCCCGTCTCATTCTGCGGTCCGGGAGGAAGACCCGCCTCTTTGACGCCCACTCTGTCTGCTTCCAGGACTCCACAGGCAGCTTCGTCCTGCCGTTCCGCCAGGTGCTCTACTCTCCGTACCCGACCACACACATCGACGTGGACATCAACACCGTCAAGCAGATGCCTCCGTGTCACGAGCACACGTTCAACCAGAGGCGCTACATGCGCTCCGAGCTGAATGCGCTCTGGAAAACGGACAGCGAGGAGGACATTCCTCCGGAAACTGTGATCCACACGGACGAGACCTTCACCCCTGACCTGTGAGCACACCTGTAACCCCTCCCCCTGACACTTTCTATAAAAACAAGGATGAAATAAAAACAAATTTTCCTTTTTTTATTTTCCCAGAAATATCTTCCAAGATGTCATGCATAACGACACGTTGGTCAAATCCTTCATCGAGGAGGTAAGAAGGTTTTTAGATCTTCACTAAGAAACATAATAAACCAAAGAAGGCAGCGTCATTAAAAGATACTCATTTATATTAAATAATGAAGGTTTTCAGGAACCGGTGTTCTGTCAGATCAGCATACCTGTAGTCAATACGCAGCGCAAGACGTGAAATTTGTGTTTATCCCTTTAGTTTTGTACGTAAAATAGACTTTAAACTACCTCGACCGGCGTGTGTCCCTTTCGTCATGTACAACACAAAACAATTTAAGGTCAGATCACCATACGCTTCAAAAAACACCAAAATGTAAGTAATTAAATTGTTTTTTTGTACATGACTAAAGGTATACACACTCGGGATCCGCGTTGCATTGTGGGATGTGGCGGCCATCTTGATGGCTACGCGAACGTAAACATAGCTCTGATACAACGTTGTTGTTGAAAGAAGAGACATAAGTAGAGAGAAAAAAGATGTTAAAATCGCGAAAAGGATCTGGAATTTACCGGGACTCATTAAATAGAGAAGCCACGGACCGGTATGTTGACAAAATCAGCATTATTAATAATTTGGATCCATATGAAGTTCCAAACAACGAGTGGAGCACCGATGAGTGAGCGCCTATACTTCAAAACAGTTCCGAAGCTACAAGTCCTTGGAGTCTCATGTGCAGTTCATGAATGGATGGGTTCAGGAGCTGCAGATCATAAAGCCAGCAAACAGTGGGAACACAGTAATCCGTACGAAGGTAAGCTGTGATCAGACGGGCTCTGGAACCTGCTAGTTTAGCAACTCCTAACCGCTAATGCTAACAACCACTCACGCATGTAATGTACTTTTAACTAGCTGCTATGTGTTTCAAAGGTGTAGTTAGTAACGTTAACTGCCAACCCTCCGAGTTTCTCACGTATTTGAGCCTTTTCCCGCTGCCGTTTTTTTTATTTTCCCATAAAAGATCCCAACTTTTAAGGAAAGAAACACTGTAGGCTATAAAATAAAACCATGCATCTTTAACTTACCAGAATGAAAATGCAGGGAACACACTCTCAATGACATCGGGATACTGTGGAAAGTTATGTTCGGTCGTCTTACAGCCGCGATCCAAGCTAGCCGACGACTCTTTATCTTGGTCTCTGTGGTTGCGCTTCCAGGCAGGAAAGCGGTGGAAAGGTAACCCATTTTCTATGTTTCCATGGCGATCATGTGTTGAGCTGTTACTGCCCACAATACAGCGACGGTTTACCATGTTTGAAATCAAGTTAAGGTGAAATTAATGAAATTAAAACACGGCTGAGAGGGAGTACAGTACGCGGTAGTCATAGGCAGTAGTCTGAGCAGCGGTAAAAGAGGCCTTCAAGATGGCGGCGACGCAAAGTAATTACGTCATGACGATCAAGCCCTATTGAGGTCGTTTAAAGTTTATTTTTCGTATAAAGCTAAAGCCGGGCGTACACTGTGCAATTTTTTTCAATCATTGAACGCAGCTACAGCTCACGCTGTATGAGGAAACCGCAGGATTTAAAAGTTCTCAGCTCACCATGTTTGTTCTCTCATGTGCGACCCGACGCTCTGATGCAATCTACCTGCTCACACGTCTAAGAACCAGGTGGGACTCAGCTCCACCGTGAGATAGCGCTACTCGGACTCATCTATCTGGAAGCCAAACCAGTAGCAGAGGAACATGAAGCTCACTAGAGTGAAACGCGCTGCCTTGGCAATGTGGGTAATTTAGTGCTGAAAGCCCTAAAAAGAAAAGGAGATGACGTATTTGAACAAAGACATGGCTGAGCTAACGAGGCTACTACAGTCTGTCAGAAACACATGGTTCTGAGAGACCAGAAATAATTTTTTCCCTCTGCAAAATGGGACAAACTGGAAGTGAAACGCCCTCGCCAAAAGTTCAAATACCTGCTTTATCACCATGGTAACGGCTGCAGACAGACCTGGTCTGTTGCTGGATGAGAGCGAAGCAGTATTTCGATCAAAATTAACAGAAATATACTCTCAGATTATCTCTGTGTCTCTAAAAAGTGTAACCTCAGCCAAATTGTTAAAAAAGCAAAAAGTTTTTATAGACTTTCTTTAGATGCAGCTGTGTGGCTGAAAAAGACATAAAAAAGCAGTTTACCGGTGATAAATCCAGCAGAATGCACTGATGGAAGCTTTGCACATCATGTGTGCAGCCTGTGGGCACCATGAGGGTCTTTTTGCACAGCGGAGCAGTTTCCAGCCGCATGTCGTCTGCTGGAGGCTGCAGCTGCAATTTCTCCTAACAAAAAAAAAGCAGCAGCTTTCCTCATGGCGGCTGTAGCAATGGAGCGTTTTCATTCCTGCATTTCAAGAGGGTTGCTAATCAACTTCCTGTTTTATTCCCAGGTGTTCATGCTGAAGCCCGGTCTGTCCCTGAGGAGCACCTACCTGGCCCAGTTCCTGCTGCTGCTCCACAGGAAGGCCCTCACGCTGCTCAAGTACATCGAGGACGAAACGTAAGAGACAAACCGACACAGAGAGAACCTCAGCAGAGTCCATCTTTGCTTTGATTTTATTTATGTTGCATCATTAAAATCATCTCCTTCCTGAAAACTGCACACAGCGTCCCATAATATCAACCTTTGTTATCAAAGATATGATAAATTCTATTCAGTTTATTTCTATAGCTCATCATGTCATCTCAGGTCACTTTCCAGTTCACCAGATCATCCAGTCAGATTGATTCAAAGTTTTCTATCTAAGGAAAACCAGCTGATTGCATTGACTCATTAGCTACGTTTACATGGACACAACTAATCGGATTGAAGGCCTGATCAGATCAAAAATGTTTCATGTAAACATGTCAGACTGAAGATTCTAATCCGATTCGGTCCGATCGGATCTAAATTTAATTCCGAATGAGAGAGGTGGTTTTTGCCGATCGCCATTCTGATTGGCGTCCATGTAAACACCCATTCGGATCTTAAGAGTAAAATAATCTTCACTGCGCATGTGTGCGACGTCAGCGTGACGTTTTTCCGCCTTGTCAACAACAGGAAACCACCGGTCGCTCTCGCTGTGAACAACATGGCGGGAGGAGTCTAGGAACGCCAACTTATACACTCAAGTTCATTTAAAGCTGCAGGAAGCAGGAATTTATCCTCCTCCTCTTCCTCTTCTTCCTCTCCACAGCCCACTCGCTCTCCCACGCCGGTTCAATCGCTCATTCTCTACATTTTCTCTCGTACATTTCGCTGCCAAGCGCTTTTTTCCTCCTCTCTCCGTTTTTCTTTCCGCTCGCTCCGAGCGCATCGTTTGTCAGGCCTCCCAAAAACCAGACGCAGACAGAACTGCCAAGTTTGGCAGGAAGTTCTGCGCATGCTTAAAAGATTTAATCTGATCCAACGCTTGGTACATGTATACACACGTCATGATCGGATCATTTCATTTAGTGTCCATGTAAACGGAGATTTTGAATTTCCGATCAACCAAGGTTTGGATCGGATCGGGGAAATTTTGCGCATGTAAACGTAGCTATTGACCCTTCAGCAATCCCTCACACTAAGCATGCTTGTAGCGACAGTGGAGAGGAAAAACTCCCTTTTAACAGGAAGAAACCTCCAGCAGAACCAGGCTCAGTGTGAGCGGCCATCTGCTGAGGCCGACTGGGGTTCAAGGAGACAGAAGCAGACATAGAAAAAGAAGCATAGATACAAAAGGCAACTGTCAACCAGCTCCACAGGCGGCCCCGTCCAGGAAACACACAGCCAGGCAGACGAGCTACGAGCCAGCTCCCATGTCAGAGGATGAAGAGAGCACATCCAGTTAGTCACAGTCAGAGAAACAGGACTACACTGGAAAACAGTTAAAAAAAAATAAAAACAATAATTTTTGTCGCAATCACTGAGTCTGGGAGCGGCCATTTTTGCCCAAACATAGTAGCCCCTCCCTCCTGCCATCTTCCAGCAGTGACGTCACGGTGCGGTAAGCCTAGCGCCATTCTCCCCGCTTTACAAGCTAAATCAATGGGAACTACTAGACACATCTGCAATCAACAACAATTATTGAAGATTTCCAGAGGACTTCACCATTGAAATTCACCAGAGCTATAGTGAAACTGCCAATGCCCACGTGCATGGCAGCTGGATGCTGGAATACATCGGGTAAAAGTGAAAAAAAAGAGTTATTCCACCTTTCTGATTCCTGATCCTCCACGGACGGGTTGGTCGTTGGATCGCCAACTTGAAGAGGGAGGATTTGCCATCGAACTTCTGGCCAGAGAAAAAACACGTAATATGTAGCCAACATTTGGAAGAAGAATGTTTTCAAGATGACTTGGATAATAGCGCGTTGTGACAAACACCAGATACAGCACTGGGACTTGATCAACAGCCGATACCGCACCGTGACGTCACTAACCAGTAGGTGGCAGTAGTGTTCTTTGACAAACATGGATGCCTCCAGTAAAGCACATTCACATGAAAATTACTCTGAATTAAAAACACTGATCATTTATTAAAGAGGATGGAATCATTTCAGATTTAAAGGACTTTCAGAGACTTCTGAAAATGAGCGACTTTTCCTTTAAAATGCTCCATAAAGGGCCCCGTCAGTGAGGGGCTCCTAGATGAAGGGTAAAGCTGTCAACCATACTAATGCACGGCGCTGAGCTTCACCAATTAACAAATGGAAAAACTATTAGAATGGTAAACGTTTGCGGAGCAAAGAAGTGTGGAAGTGATTTATGGAGCTCCTGCGGTTCAGGTTTTAACAGGATGATTCATCCAGAGAGACGCTGTGAGTTAGAGGCAGAGAGGAGGAGAGAGTTTAGCTGCAGGAGGTCATAAATCCTCAGCATCGTTCCGTTTGAACGGCGAGGAATGATGGCCCCAGTGAGAGAAAAGGACCAACCCCTCCGAGGCGCTGTTATCATCATCATCATCATCATGGCAGTGCTGAATGTTTGTCCGGATCGTTAGTCTCCCTCAGAGCGTCAGACACCTGCTGCGTCTTGTTTGGATGCTCAGGAACCGCGCCCTGCTGGGTCTCTCTTCCTGTAGCTCTTCTGAGACTCCGCCCCCATCCATCTGCATGTTTCCATTGTTGACCCGGTCGGTGCTCCATCTGGGCCCAACTCATCTCCGTCTGCGCTCCCAACCAGCGCCGCCTTCGCAGATCACTGCCGGGACCTTCTCTGCTCCTCCCTCCTGACTCAGAATGGGCCCTGAGCCGCCCCGTCTTACCGATGCATTGCCAGCAAACCTCTAACCCGCCTGAGGGAGGTTATTATTGGTGCTAAAGCATGGAAGCGCCTGCGTTTATGACGCCGCCGTTGATTGATTACACTCTGGGGGAAAGGTTCAGCTGCATGCGTGAGCTGATAAACGCTCTGAGATGTGGGACAACAATGACACAAGAATCAGGATCATCTTTGCTGTCATTTTGACACAGGAGGCAAACATGATAAGCAGACAAAATAAAAAAGCGTTCCTGAAGGCGGGCCAGGGGACAATGTCTGCGTTTCAAAAGCATTTATCCTGAGTTTATTCACCAGCCTGAACTAGACCTAAACGATCTTATCTGAGGGACATTTGGGCAGAAAGAGGCGAGTAAAGCGTTTCTTTTCCTGGAGGAACCAGCTGGATCAAAGTCTGATGCTGAGGACGATTTCCAGAGTCTTAGATTTCTTTTTTTTTATCACCCCTGTCAATAATTTATCTCTTTTCATTCCAGCTCCATGTTGCTCCAATGACACAATTTAATTCAATACATTTTATTTATAAAGCGCCAATTCACATCATGTCATCTCAGGTCACTTTCCAGTTCAACCAGATCATCCAGTCAGATTGATTCAAAGTTTTCTATCTAAGGAAAACCAGCTGATTGCATCGACTCATTGACTCTTCAGCAATCCCTCACACTAAGCATGCTTGTAGCGACAGTGGAGAGGAAAAACTCCCTTTGAACAGGAAGAAACCTACAGCAGAACCAGGCTCAGTGTGAGCGGCCATCTGCTGAGGCCCACTGGGGTTCAAGGAGACAGAAGCAGACATAGAAAAAGAAGCATAGATACAAAAGGCAGCTGTCAACCAGCTCCACAGGCGGCCCCGTCCAGGAAACACACAGCCAGGCAGACGAGCTCCGAGCCAGCTCCCATGTCAGAGGATGAAGAGAGCACATCCAGTTAGTCACAGTCAGAGAAACAGGACTACACTGGAAAACAGGCCAAGCTCCAACATCTAGAAACATTCCAGCTCCATGTTGCTCCAATGACACAGTGAGACGTTGTTTGTGTCAGGGATGTAGCCGTTAATGTTTCTCTGCAGCACAGGGGCCCATGAGATGGATCACAGGGGGATCGATGGCAGCTTTTCTTGTTAGCAGAGCGGAGAGCGTGAAGATTCTCAGTCATCCAGGTGATATTTATTCCAAAAAAGTTAAAAACAATCCACTGGACTTTGTTTCCAAGTTTAAAGACGTTTCTCTTCCATCCAGGAAGCTTTTTCAATTCAAAACGTCAGAAATAGCGTTGAGTTCCAGGTTTTATCCAACAGCCCAACAAAGCCTTGTTTTGGTTTGAAAATTAAATAACTATTTTAATAAAAACTTAATAATCAATTTTTGTATATATTAGTAATTGTAAATATCAATTTTATACAGTATAAATGTTGATAAAAGTAGGTAAGTAATGACAAAGGAAGAGATGTTTGCCCCAGAATTCAAACCTTTAAAGAAGTGTTTTCACTATACCTTTAATCTAGAAAGCACGGATGTTTAAATATATGTTTCTGTTTGTTAGCAAAGGCTGTTGGAAAGTATCGTTTTTTTTTCTTTATTTAGAAAATATTAATGTTTTGCTTGTTAATTTTTTCTGTCGCAATAGTGTAGATTGACCCTGAGGTTCTGTCCACTTTCGGCCACCCCTCGGTGTACATTGGTTATTGCCTGGACGCCCTTATAAAAATATCTAGCTACACCTCTGTGTGACAGGAGCTTAAGGAACAAGGGCATGAAAATGTTTAACAGAGCTGGTTGATTTTCAGCTGGTCTTGGGTTTTGAACGTGGAGGAAACTTGTTCTTCCAGGGGGGTGGGATGCGCGTTTTGTCCACAGGGGGGAGCTGCTGTGCAGAAAAAGCTGTTCCAGGCTCTGTTAGCGCTGGGTTTCACGCTACTGTAACAGGAGCCATGCTTACATCTCCATGCCTCTGTTTACAGGCAGAAAGGGAAGAAGCCGTTCCGATCCCTTCGGAATCTGAAGACGGACCTGGATCTAAAGCTGGAGGGAGACCTGAACATCATCATGGCGCTGGCAGAGAAGCTGAGGGCGGGGCTTCACTCCTTCGTGTTCGGGAAGCCGTTCTACACCAGCGTTCAGGAGCGAGATGCTCTCATGAGCTTTTAACTCGTTTAAAGTGTTCTCCTGTTCCAGACCTGGTCTCTGTGTCGGATCACAGGAAGAACTCATCCTCATTGATTCACTGAGTTAGTAAAGTTACCTTTATGCTTAAAAAAAATGACTGATTTGTTTTATTCACAAACTTTTTCTCTGTCTGAAACAACCAGTTACTTATGTTTTAATCACCAATTGTTTTATTTTGATATGAAATTATAATGAATGATGTAAAAATGGATGAGTTATTAAACATTTGTGCTGAATGTAGATGTTGTCTGGTGATTTATTGGATTTTAAAACCAGCAGATCTGTTGTGCTGGAGAAGCCTAGTGATTATTTTGACTCTCTGCACCTCTGATTGGCTGAAAAGTTCCCAGAGCTCCTCCTCTCCACGTTACCATTGGATACCATCAATTTGGCGTTAATGTTAGATTCCTGGATGTCTGCTTTATGAGCCATCCATCCATCATCCATCCAACCTTCATCCATCCATCCATCCATCCATCCAACCTTCATCCATCCATCCAACCATCATCCATCCAACCATCATCCATCCATCCATCCAACCATCATCCATCCAACCATCATCCATCCAACCATCCATCCATCCATCCTTCATCCATCCATCCATCCATCCATCCAACCTTCATCCATCCATCCATCCATCCAACCATCATCCATCCAACCATCATCCATCCAACCATCATCCATCCAACCTTCATCCATCCATCCATCCATCCAACCTTCATCCATCCATCCATCCATCCAACCATCATCCATCCAACCATCATCCATCCAACCATCATCCATCCAACCATCATCCATCCAACCATCATCCATCCAACCTTCATCCATCCATCCATCCATCCAACCTTCATCCATCCATCCATCCATCCAACCTTCATCCATCCATCCATCCATCCATCCAACCATCATCCATCCAACCATCATCCATCCAACCATCATCCATCCAACCTTCATCCATCCATCCATCCATCCAACCTTCATCCATCCATCCATCCATCCAACCATCATCCATCCAACCATCATCCATCCAACCATCCATCCATCCAACCTTCATCCATCCATCCAACCATCATCCATCCATCCAACCATCATCCATCCATCCAACCATCATCCATCCATCCATCCAACCTTCATCCATCCATCCAACCATCATCAATCCATCATCCATCCAACCTTCATCCATCCAACCATCATCCATCCAACCTTCATCCATCCAACCATCATCCATCCAACCATCATCCATCCATCATCCATCCATCCAACCTTCATCCATCCATCCAACCATCATCCATCCATCCAACCATCATCCATCCATCCAACCATCATCCATCCAACCTTCATCCATCCAACCATCATCCATCCATCCAACCATCATCCATCCATCATCCATCCATCCAACCTTCATCCATCCATCCAACCATCATCCATCCATCCAACCATCATCCATCCAACCATCATCCATCCATCCATCATCCATCCAACCATCATCCATCCATCATCCAACCATCATCCATCCATTATCCATCCATCCAACCATCATCCATCCAACCGTCATCCATCCATCCATCATCCATCCAACCGTCATCCATCCATCATCCATCCATCATCCATCCAACTGTCATCCATCCAACCGTCATCCATCCAACCGTCATCCATCCATCCAACCATCATCCATCCATCCATCATCCATCCAACCATCATCCATCCAACCATCATCCATCCATTATCCATCCATCCAACCATCATCCATCCAACCGTCATCCATCCATCATCCATCCAACCGTCATCCATCCATCATCCATCCATCATCCATCCAACTGTCATCCATCCAACCGTCATCCATCCAACCGTCATCCATCCATCCAACCTTCATCCATCCATCCATCCATCCATCCATCCAACCATCATCCATCCAACCATCCATCCATCCAACCTTCATCCATCCATCCAACCATCATCCATCCATCCAACCATCATCCATCCATCCAACCATCATCCATCCATCCATCCAACCTTCATCCATCCATCCAACCATCATCCATCCATCCATCAATCCATCATCCATCCAACCTTCATCCATCCAACCATCATCCATCCAACCTTCATCCATCCAACCATCATCCATCCAACCATCATCCATCCATCATCCATCCATCCAACCTTCATCCATCCATCCAACCATCATCCATCCATCCAACCATCATCCATCCATCCAACCATCATCCATCCAACCTTCATCCATCCAACCATCATCCATCCATCCAACCATCATCCATCCATCCAACCATCATCCATCCAACCTTCATCCATCCATCCATCATCCATCCATCCAACCTTCATCCATCCATCCAACCATCATCCATCCATCCAACCATCATCCATCCATCCAACCATCATCCATCCAACCATCATCCATCCATCCATCCATCATCCATCCAACCATCATCCATCCATCATCCAACCATCATCCATCCATTATCCATCCATCCAACCATCATCCATCCAACCGTCATCCATCCATCATCCATCCATCATCCATCCAACCGTCATCCATCCATCATCCATCCATCATCCATCCAACTGTCATCCATCCAACCGTCATCCATCCAACCGTCATCCATCCATCCAACCATCATCCATCCATCCATCATCCATCCAACCATCATCCATCCAACCATCATCCATCCATCATCCATCCATCCATCACCCATCCAACCGTCATCCAATAATCATCCATCCATCATCCATCCAACCATCAACCAATCCTCCATCTATCTATCCAACAATCACCCAGCAATCCATCCTGACTCTCAGTTATAAAGATCAGTAGTTCTAAAGTCTGCCTTTGTCTCCTGTATTTATTCTGGTGAGAACGATTCACTCAGACAGCAATAATCTTTAGAAATAAAAATGCAGAAACTGAAGACCACAATAAATTGGACTTAAAAGAAATCAAAATAAACCAGTTCTGATGTCTTGAATGTTCTTCTCAAACAATCGATGCAGTTCTGACAGAATATAAAACAAGTTTTCTGACTGACTTAATTCTATTCAGTTTATTTCTATTGCGCCAATTCACACATGTCACTTTCCAGTTCACCAGATCATCCAGTCAGATTGATTCAAAGTTTTCTATCTAAGGAAAACCAGCTGATTGCATCGACTCATTGACTCTTCAGCAATCCCTCACACTATTATTAGGTATTAAGGGCGGCATTTGCACAAATCAGGTTAGGCATAGGAAGTAGAGCTTTATATATGGGAGATCGCTCAGCAAGAACGGATGGGAATTTAGCTGAGGTGCAGAAGGAACGGTGGCATTAAATGGTCATCGTCACCATCACTTCAGGCAGAGGCGAGGTGCATTTATTAAAGGCAGATCCATATAATCCATTCATCCATTCATCCATCCATCCGGGGCCTGATTACAGTTTCTAATGCTGTAACTGTGGTTTAAGGATTACGTAATACTAGAAACCCACCTTCCCTCAAGTAGCGCATTAGAAGAGGCTGCTTGAAGATCTTCATCCATCCATAATAGCCTGCAGCCAGAATATAATTACTTTTTCTCTGGAGGGCCTTGAAGTGCTCATGTTTAAAGACAGACAAGAGGAGAAGCTGTTAATTACTTACAGACCATCCTCAAGCGCTGCAGCAAAGATGTCCTTCAGGAATTTAGCTGAAAAAGGGGAATTCACAGATACGGAGGGTTGCTAATTCTTTTAAAGGCCGGAACCAAATTAGGCCCCCGTCATCAGGGGCCCGGCTCGATTGGCAGGCTTTGAGCCTCACGACTGAAACCTTTTATTATGCAACAGATCTGAACCATTTGTCCATCAGGGAGGCTTTGTTGTTCTGAAGGGGAGCTTAACAGCTACCCTCTTACAGTATTTTAAGAAGCACCCCAGAGTTTCAGTAAATGCCGGAGAAACAAACAGCAGTACTTAGAGTTTCTCACTGAGTTATTTTTGGAGTAATAAACCTGTAGATGGGATTAAAAAGCTTTCAGGTTTCCAACAGAAAACATTGTTAAAGCGCATCGAGGGAGATCCGCTTCTTCTCACTATTTATCAAACATAACTGTCATGAACCGAGGACAGATTGACCCACTATTCAAGGAGAGACAGTCAGTAGGAAAGTTCAAAACGGTTTATTAAATTAACAAAAACTAAAGTGGAGCTGTGGCTCTCGGACAATGCAGGATGGGGAGAGGGGCACCGCCCAATCAGAGACACTCTGCAGGAGAAATACAGGTAAGTGACCATGATCATCTGACAGAAGATGATTATCTGAGTTGGCCACTTACCTGGTTTAACAGTCCAGTCCTAGAATGTCCCCAAGTGCTGCAGTCCCAGAGGACATGCTGGAAGCCGATCCTGCTCAGGGATCCAGAACAAACAGGAACAGACAGGTGGCAGTATCCAGGCTTTCAGGCATCCACAAGCTCCCAGGCAGGTTCTGAGTCTGACAGGGTCTGAAAGCGTGACCAGGTGGTCACGCACAGGAACAGACAGGATCAGGTGCAGACAGGCAGGCTCAGTGGAAGAGGGTAACAGAGACAGGACGTGGAACCAGAACTTGATGCAGGACTTTAAACTGGTCTCCTCCTGGAGCCAGGCTTACTTTGATAAAAACTGAACCTCCCCCCATATAGAGCCAAAAACCCAGAGGACTCCGCTGGGGAGGAACAGTGGACGATCAGGAGACGAGACAAACACAAAACCCTCTTTCCACTGGCAGCCAGGATCCAGGACACGAACAAAGGAGTAAAACTAACAGACAGGCTAACAGAAAGACAAGTAATGATCTGGCCCTGAATGCTCAGGCTGAACTGAATATAAACCAGAGGAAACAGGTGAGAGGAATAAATTATAATTAAGGCAGGGAGGGAAAACGACAGGTGAAAGGAATGACTAATTAAGGGAGAGCAAACAGGCCAGATCATGACAATAACAGCCTGAAATCGAACTTCTCAGCAGAAGCAAGGCCCGATCCCATTTCTCTCACTTGCATTTGTTTTGGTCCAAGGTAATCGGTTTTGCGCCTTCATGTGTAGGGTTAGTGGGTTCAAATAGTTTTAAGAGCTAGGGGGAAGTGCCATCCAATCCTTCAAACCAAGTGTGTGACTTCAGAACGGAGTGGCTTCCCAGAACTCCTTCAGTGAAAGGAAAAATGCTGTCCGGAGGACGGGGGGCTGCGGGCCGGGAGGCAGGCGGGGGGAAGCACGATTTTGAAATTCCCCCCGGACATTTTTTAGGTATGAAAAGTAGGACATGTCCTGGAAAAAGAGGACGTCTGGTCCCCCTACCATATCAACAATCTGATGTTTCAGTGAGTGAGTGCTTGTTGCTATGATGCGTCTTTGCTCAGCAGCTTGGCTCGTTATAAACCAACCAATCAGAGCACAGCTCATCTAAATATTCATGATCATACCATAAAAGGAAGAAAACCTGTCGTTTCATTCTAGGGCTTTTAACCAGACTGCATTAGGGCTCATAGAACAGCTAATATGCCATTTTCAGCCCAAACAATGTTACACACCCTATTCAAAGACCTTAAAGGGGATTTGGGTTGTTTTAAATTTGGCCCTTGATTTTCCGTTATTCCATCATGTTCTACTCACCCATATGAGTTTTTTGTCATTTGTAGCCGTTCTGAAGATATTTCGTTAGGTTGTATCCTGCTGTTAGGTTATATCCGGTGCCCGGATGACGTCATACACACTTTATGGCGTACCATAAAGAATAATTGGGAACAGTTTAGTTTGTGCCTTCAAGTCGTTGCCCATAGGAAGACGTTACCTGGATATAACCTAACGGAATATCTTCAGAACAGCTCCAAATTACACTAAGCTCATGTGGATGAGTAGAACAGGATGTAATAACGTAAAATCAAGGGCAAAATGTAAAAAAAAAATGGCGTTCTCCTTTAAGGACCAGCACCAAATACCCTATAGAATCATTCTATCAACCCTTTAGCCATGCATTTTGTTTTTAAATATGTTGGAATATCTGAGTTAGACGTAAATACAACTGAATTCCTTTCTGTTGTGTTAAAGCATGAATATAGCTCGATTTTAAAGTCGAGAAAACTAAATACTTTCTTTAAACCAAACTACCATGTTCCTCTTATATTTGGCGAATTTATGTTTGAATATTTTGCAAAAATATGTTGCCGTGCATGATGGGGTTTTGCATCTAAAGGCTAACGGTTCCCATCTTATGTGCATTGTTGCCTGGTGGGATGTTTCCCAATCTGGCAGTTTAGGATGACCGTCTATGGGTAAAAAAACATTTTTCTCTAGATTTATGGCCTAAGAGGTCAACAGAACCCCTTATGACGAGCAAATAAATGGACGTAGTGTTCCATCGCCCGGACACCGTATTCTTAGCTAATTTGTATATATCTATATATATGTATTGACATTAGCATGCTAATTTGTATATATCTATATATATGTATACATACATATATATATATATATATATATATATATATATATATATATATATATATATATATATATATATATATATATATATATATATATATAGGGGGGATATTCATATATCAAATGTTCTTTGGAAATTTGTAAAATTTAAATTACTGTTAAAAAGTAACAGTAAGATTTTATATCTATATACCATATATATATATATATATATATATATATATATATATATATATATATATATATATATATATATATATATATATATATATATATATATATATATATATATATATTTATATATATATATATAGATATATGTCTATATATCTATATGGATATATTGATATATATATCAAATTATCTATATGTATATAGATATATAAATATAGATATATAAGGCTATTTTTTCTCTGTTTATTCTTGCTTTTAGGTTAAATATAAAAAAATAACCCTCCACTAGCGTTGCCATTAAAAACCTTCATGTTGATAGGCAGAAAATCTATTGTGGGCGTGGCCTCAGCAAAGATTTTTTTTTTTATTGGTCAGCCTTTCGCCGGTTGCTTGTTCCCCATTGGTCATTTCCTGTGACAGCTCCGGTAAGAACAGGAAGAGGGATGCTAACTGGCAACCAGCCATGTAAACAGTGAGCAGAGGATGCTAGGTGTTAAAAGCGCCAGGCGGACAGCTGCTCCTGGTTAATTGAAGCCAGGATGAAACCTCTAACTGTACCTGGAGCATTAAGGTAGGCTCCACTTAATAACAGACGCGTGTTCAGTGTGTGGCGAAACCGACAGGAGACATTAGCTGCGGCCCGCTGTCATTAGCATGCTAATAGCTAGCCTCAGTATTATCGGTGTTGGACTGGCTAGCTTAAAAGCTCTGCCGTCTAACGGCTGAAATGCCAAGTCTGGTTATTGTGGATGGTTTAGCTGCGCTTTTGATCAATGTTTCAATTCAAGTTTGATAGAAATGGTTCTTATACGGTTCATAATGGTGCAATAGGGAATTAATCCCTCATTTTATGGTTCGACAGTTGATATTTCTTTCCTGTTTACGCCCAGCATGGATATCCCAGTTCCTTATATCCCCAAATATCCTGCTGCTCTTTGCTCAGAGATGATTAACGATAGCCTCTGACCCTCATTCAGCAAAGAGCTGTTCCCTATGTTTGATGTTTATTAGCTGCTTCTAATCATCTCTGGTTAACAACCTTAAATACCTGGAGGGATCAAAAGGGGCCAGATTATTCTGCTCTACCTATGACACCCGGAAGTTGTCTGCATGCTTCAGTCAAACCTAGCAATAAAAAGGTATTGAAGTTTTGACAAAACACATTTCAGTTACAGTTGAAAACATGTTTATTGTGAAACTATCAGCTCAGTTTTACCTGACTGCAAATTCCTGTTAGATTGTTTAAAGATATTTCAACCAGTTCAGTTTATTTCTATAGCGCCATTCACAACACATGTCATCTAAAGGCACTTTACAGTTCACCAGATCATCCAGTCAGATTGATTCAAAGTTTTCACACTGAGCCTGGTTCTGATGGAGGTTTCTTCCGTTTAAAAGGGAGTTTTTCCTCTCCACTGTCGCTAGAGTCAACGAGTCGATGCAATCAGCTGGTTTTCCTTAGATACAAAACTGATATAATCTGACTGGATGATGTGGTGAACTGTAAAGTGCCTTGAGGTGACATGATGTGAATTGGAGCTATAGAAATAAACTGAATTAAATTTTTTTAGTAAGAACAGAGTCTTGTGATCTTATAACAATTGACAGTGTGAGTTATTTAAGAAAAATCAATCTCTGTCAAAACCAGAATTTCCATTCTGGCTTTTTAAAGATCAGTAATCAGTGATCGGCCAGAAACCTGAAACTGGTTCACCCCAAAAAAATGATCCTTCAAATTAGATGCCAGCTTCGGTGTTATTTACTGCAGCCTGAATGACATCATAAAGCTTTATCTGTCTGATTGAGCAGCTCAGAAACCAAAAGTGAGCTGAACCAACAGCTGAGTCATCAGAAGCTCCTGATATCCTCAGAACCCAAACTTGCTTTACGGGAAAGTCTGCAAGGCAGCAGAAATGGATTTGGTCACTGGTGAAGATTTGACGAGATTCCCTTTAGATTAGATGCACATTGTATGGAGTGAAATGGGTTCCTTCATTTTTGCAAGCAAAGAAAATACAAATAAGAAAAAAAAAAAATATTCAGGAATGTTTTTTTTACAGTAACTGTGTTGTTTTTCTCAGATTCTTTCTGTCATGTTTAAAAAAAAAAAACAAAACTATATTTTTAAGATTTTATGTTGTTTTTTTAATGTTTCAGATTGAGTTTTAAAAATTGCTTTCTTTTTAAATCGGGTTTTCCAGATTATGTTCTGTTCTCAGGGTTTCATCTGAAGTGAGAAGGAAAACATTTCTATTGGTCCACTGGATGTTAGCAGCATTACTTTTATACATCGCAGCACAAACCTTTCTATTTGGCTTGAGTGAAAAGACTGCAATCTTTAAAGAGCAGTTTGAAAATAAATAAAAATAGTTTGAAAAAATAAGATTTGTATGGAAGCCCTGAGCGGTCGGGTAACTCAGATACTTTTTCACTGTGGTTTTCTTGAGAAAACGAGTTAATTTTCTTATTATCTAAAGATAACGACAGCTGTTTTCTCATCATAACGAGATGATTGGTTTGTGTTAAAACTTATTACATCCTTCAATAGCATAACAGCAGGAGGATTTATAAGTCATGGCAGCCTATGTGTCATTCTTTAAATAATCCTGTGTTTAACTTTCAGGTAACAAGACGACGTTGTTGGTTTGATGTTTTGCTTCCACTTCTGATTCATAAGCAGTTAGCCCTATGCCTCCAGGTGTTTTCTGAACATCCCGGTGTTACGCCTGGAACAGCTATAAGATGCATTAACCCCCAAAATGAGTCCAGATTTAAGCTTTTCCTTAAAAAAAAACAGTCAGATTTGTTTCTACCGTATTCCATCCAATCCAATCATCCGCCACCACCTGAAAATGACTGAAAAGAAAAAGGAAATTGATTATTTGCTCAGATGCGGTACTGCGACTGCTCAACTAACTGTTTTCTTGTGATAACAAGATAATTATTTGGTATCGAGAAAACAATTAAATGGTTTAACGAGATAGTTGTGTCATTGTCTCGAGAAAGCAAAGGAAAAACAAAAACTCGGGTACAACCGCCCTCAGCTTCCGTAGATTAGAAAATATGAAAACTTAATAACTTTTAAAAAACAAATCTGAGAAAACCGCAAAGGAACTTTAGGATATTCGCTATCTAGTATGATTTGTGGGGCTGAAACGATTAATCTGAGTAATCAGGATAAACAGTCAAACAAAAAAAGAAAAATAGAATCTCTGAAATAATCGTCAACTAATCGATTAATCATTAGCTGGAGTATAGAGACTCCAAATCATGCCTTTAGCTGACAGAGCGACCCACTTAGTAATCATGCCTAAATTATATAAAGAATATATTAACATTTTTGCATTTAAGATAAAAAAAATAATAACCTTTTCATCTGGATCATCATGGTGCTCTATCAGAACTCCTCAAGTGGAAATGTTTATGTTCATCTGGTTTAATTTAGTAAAAAATCTTCTTTAAGGAAACCTTGGCTGTCCGATTATTCATCGATTAATCAAAAAATAATCAACAGATTAATTGATTAGCTAAATAATCCTTGGCCTAGCGGTTAGAGCAGGGTGCGCTTGTGCTCTGAGAAATTTGCAGATCCCCAGTTTGATTCCCAGAGCCTCCACTCTGGGCCCATAAGCAAGACTGTTAACCCCACACTGCTCCCCAGGCTCCACACAATGGCAGCCCATTACTCCCCAAGGGAATGGGTTGATAGCAGATATCCATATTGAGATCAATAAAGTACAATTATGATTGTTATTTTCAGGCCTAATATTTAGTTTAAATTGGTAATTAATGTTTTATTTTGGTTCAAAATAAGACTTGTATAACATTTGCTATCATGCAGTCATTTTTATCCCGTAAATTGAGGAAGAAAAAGCAACATATGCTCTAAGAATCAGCCTGAAAATATCAGGAGCTCATATCAGGGATGAAATTTAGACTGATGTCAAATAATTGGCATCAGCAATGGAATAAAAAAAGCCTCTATGGGTCGATCTCTGCGTGTTGAACATTGATTACTAAATCTAACAAGTTGATAAATGTAGCTTTGAGATCCATGGAAGAGTTGATCAAGTGCAAAGATTGATTAGAGCTTTGGGGGTTTTCCTCTGCGTCATTTCAGGGGGATTAGGAGCGGATTTGTCCCTATTTGTACACTGAATAAATGTGAATAAGCACTCTGCAGCCTCCCAGCAGCTTTAGACTCATGTAAACAGTAATCCTCCTGTAGAGGCCCTCAGCCTGTTCAACACATGCATGCTGTTTTGATTACGCACAGAGTTGCGCATCATGCACCATTCAGGGGCCGTGGAGTTTGGTAGTTTTTACAACCAGAGAAAGTTGCAGAGAAGTGGCCATGTTTGTATAACAGTTTGTAAAGAACACGTCTTCTGGTGCTGAGATGGCAGCTTCCTGCTGCTGATTCAGCAGAATATGTTTGTATAGAGGTAATGGCGTCCTAGTTTTCTGGAATGGAAAAGGCAGAGTATGCAGGGATTGACCCCAGAACTTACTCTGGATCACCACTAACCCTGCTGTGTGAAATGTGTCCCAGTTCTGAAAAAGGATCAGGAAAAGCTTCTTGGGTCAGTTAATAAGCACGGCGGAGGATGTTTGATGCTGTGGGCCTGTTTCTTATTGGACTGCATGGCGTTGAAAATGGGTTATCGCTTGTACATTCAGCAATGTGATCATTTGATTTCCTTTGAGTTTTATTTTCATGCTCGTATTTATTGGTTTACTCATGTTTTTTTTTTTTTTTATATCACATGGCAGCTCTGTTTTTATTTCCTGTTTAATATCAGCATTAGGGATGCACGATATAATCGTCCCCCTATCGGTATCGGCCTTAAAACTGAATATCGGACATCGGCCACCCCACCGATATTTAACCCGATATTTGATCAGCTTCTGAGTTTCTAAAGTCTAAAAAAAAAAAAAAATACTACTTCTTCTTCCTCAAAAACTTCTTTTTTACAGACTTAAAAACTTCTAAAGACGAGGGAAAAAATATTGATCCATTAAAATATCCCAATATCTTCATATGCTGATATATTGCCATTTAAAAACAAAATATCAATCTCTTTTATTAATGAAATATTGCTATATGTCATCGTTATGCTACGAAATCCCCCGAAAATTCACCAAATGTTGCCATATTTTTATATGTTGATATATTGACGCGGTATCGATCTATTTTACTAACAACATCTTACAAGAATTTGCAAAATATCACGAGAGTTTGTAACAGAACGATGAAATTTCACGAGATTTTGAAAGTAAAATAGATCGATACCGCGTTTTTAAAAATCAATTTGATGTCAGCATATGAAAATATATTTGAGTTTATTATTTTTCAAAGTGTCAGAAATGGATAATAAAACTGCTATTTTCAATGACTACTTATTTTTGTCCAGCTTTAACATCGGTATCGATATCGGTTATCGGCTACACGAGTTTTAAAATATCAGCATATCGGATATCGGCCAAAATCCCAATATCGTGCATCCCTAATCAGAAGTTTAATTGAACATGAACCCTTCAATTGATGCATATCTGTTAAACTTGCATTTCTTTTGATTTGTAGTTCTCTGTGCTTAACTGAGCACCGGTAGCCATGGATGGTTCTAAAAACGCCTCCTTCCCCACCATCGGGGAGCTGGATGATTATCTTAATGAGCACGATTCGAACTTCATCTGGCTGCTTGTTGGTAAGAGATTCAACCTCTCACTGCGGCGCTAACACCTGTTCAAAGATGGATTTTCTTTCTTATTCATGTCCTTGTTTGATTTTTATTTAGTTTTACTGTACTCCGTTCTATGTTGGAAACGCTAACGGTAAACTAGCTCCACAGGTGGTTCTGTCTGGGATAGAAATGGTTAAACAAATTAGTTCTGATTCGGTTTTTATGTCAAAGGATGAAAGAGAGAAGATACAGTTATTCACAGTAAAAATCTGAGCTTGTAGCTATGGCTAGGAGAGAAACGGGACTAAACACTGAAAACCAGGCTGATCTCCAACATCTAGAAACAAAGGTGTTGATGGCAGCAGCACAGCTGATATTTCTCTCCAGGATGCAGTCACAGCCAAACAGGAACAGACCAGATGAAGCTACTATGAGAAAAAGCAGAGAGAGCAGAACGTTAGAGATTGAACTAACAGATTCTGCAGAGTGGGAGAATAGAGATAGAATGAAGCAGAATGATGAAAAAGGGGTCCCTATGTCCTCCAGCAGTCTAAGCCTTTCCTCTGCGTCATTTCAGATCCCTGATAAAAGATGGAGCTTGTTTAAAATCTCTTTCCATTGACTCAGAACTTGTTTCTTCTTCTGTTTCAGCCACCATTCTGTCCTGTGGATGGATCATCTATTTAACTTACTACAACTCTCGCAACATCGGCCTCTTCCTCACCCTTATCATCAACAGACTTTACAAGGATGGCTACATTCACATCGGTATGGCTGAGTCTTTAGGAACACATCTGAGTGGGGAAAATTCTAGCCTGGGTCTGTGGAAACAAACGGCAGAACGATTTCAGAGCTAAAAGAAAATCATTAAGTGGGTCACAGAAGCTTAGTAACGAATCCTGTTAGAGGAAGGCATCTCTCAAAAACAAGCTTCCCATTTCTATGTCCTAAGGGCTGCTGAAAACGGCTGTTTTCCTTTAGCTTGTCCATAAATCTCTAAAGAAGTCAGTCGGTCGGGTCCAGCTGCATCAGGAAGCTCAGGAATGAGTTCAGCTAATAAATGACCCAGTCAGTCCATCAGGTTTCTTCTCCTTCTTAAAAGCATCGCCCAGAAGCATTACGAAGCTTCTGGTTGTCATGGCAATGAAGCTGAGCAGCTCTTAGTCATTCTAATGTAGCTTTGGATGAAAATATTCAGTTCAGTTCAGTTTATTTCTATATCGCCAATTCACAGCACACTTCATCTCAGGTCACTCTACAGAAACAATTCAATCAGATCATCCAGTCAGGTTGGTTAAAAGTTTTCTATCTAAGGAAAACCAGCTGATTGCTTCGACTCATTGACTCTTCAGCAATCCCTCACACTAAGCATGCTGGTAGCGTCAGTGGAGAGGAAAAACTCCCTTTGAACAGGAAGAAACCTCCAGCAGAACCAGGCTCAGTGTGAGCGGCCATCTGCTGAGGCCCACTGGGGTTCAAGGAGACAGAAGCAGACATAGAAAAAGAAGCATAGATACAAAAGGCAACTGTCAACCAGCTCCACAGGCGGCCCCGTCCAGGAAACACACAGCCAGGCAGACGAGCTCCGAGCCAGCTCCCATGTCAGAGGATGAAGAGAGCACATCCAGTTAGTCACAGTCAGAGAAACAGGACTACACTGGAAAACAGGCCGAGCTCCAACATCTAGAAACAAAGTTGTTGATGGCAGCAGCACAGCTGATATTTCTCTCCAGGATGGAGTCACAGCCAAACAGGAACAGACCAGATGAAGCTACTATGAGAAAAAGCAGAGAGAGCAGAACGTTAGAGATTGAACTAACAGATTCTGCAGAGTGGGAGAATAGAGATATGATGAAAAAGGGGTCCCTATGTCCTCCAGCAGTCTAAGCCTATAGCAGCAGAACTATAGAGATAGCTCAGGATAAAATAAATGTTATAAAGATTTGAAAATATTTTCTAAACCAATCCTCGGCTGCTGTTTGTGGGGTTCCCAAGGGTCCTTGATATCCTTGAAAGTTTGTGAATTTTAAAACAAAATGTTCAAGGCCCTTGAAAAGGTTTGAATAAATAAACGTACGTTTATGCCGCATCATGATTTTCACTGAGGTTGTTTTTAAGCTCATCATGTTAACAATGTCTTCATGTCCACAGGTTCCTTCTCCTTCTCAGTTCTGTCAGGAAAAGTCATGTTCAGAGAGGTCTACTACATCAACCAGGACATGTCCATCAGGTCACCGCTAGCGTCCAAATCCCCTTTATCGGTCTTCGGCTCTCTGCTCACCGGCTGCTCTCTCTCTCGCTCTGTTGCAGGATTCAGGACGGCTTTCTCATATTTCGCTGGTGGAAAATGTACAACCCGAAGCAGAAGCAGCACGGTGAGTTTGGCTGCAGAGATATTCAAGACAGACCTCTCTAACACATGAATATATTAGCAGGGGATTTTGCTCCATTGGTGCAAGCAAAGAGCACAGTTTGAAAATGGGGAAAATTATGGAGATAGATCTGTCTCCATTTTCACAGATGTGATTCATGCATGCACAGCATGATTCACACAAAAACAAAAAAATCCACAGACTCGCAGCACAATTCATGCAAGCACAAAAAAATCCAGCAGGATGTGGGATCTGGGGGCGTCATCCCACCTGGAGTAGTTTCTAGTGATTGGCTTATACAAGGGAGCTCTGCGATGCAAAAAATGCATTTGTGTATCGAGGCACGTCAGGAATAACCTGACTCCGCCAGATGGATTTGCTCCGCATATCCATCTGGAAACCTTCCGTTTAAGTAATTTTGGGAAGGGGCGAAAATACTGGTTAGCTGATTGGCCTATGTTGGTGATAGACGGGCCAAATAAACCAATCGGATCAACGAAGCATATGACGTACTAACAGAGCGACGACGAAGAGGAGCCAATTGATAGATCAAACTCTTGGTGAAACCAGTCAGGAGAAGAGCAAAAACATATTTTCCTCTGAGAAAAGCCTCCAGAGCAGTGTTTTGCTCTTCTTTCAGTGAAAAAATACTCTGTAATTCCCATAAAACTTGCTCGATAGCCACGCTAACGCTAGTTTCATCGGCTGAAGCCGCCATGTTCTTTAGATTGAACTGTTGCGCTTCTCGTTGCGTCACACCTCAACCCGCCTCAAAGCCAACGCTGATTGGACGTTCGTTTGGTGAACGGCTCCAAACTTTCTTTAACGGAGAGTCTCCAGACTGATCTGCGAGTGAAACCTTGAAAACTCGCGAGATCAGGATGGTCTCACGAGGCACGTCAGGAGAGTCTCAAAAATCCACACACAAATACAGTGAAGTTTAAAGACTACCGGTACTTTATAGTTTAATTTGTGTTTAACGTGTGTGTGGATTTTTTTGTGCTTGCGTGAATCGTTCTTTGCACGTATGAATCATGTGTATTTGTGAAAATTGAGACCAATCTAACTCCATACAAAACTGAACCTTTGAAAGGTTTTCAATTAACAGGATTCCCGCGGGGCCTTAAAAAGCCTTAAAAGGCATTGAATTCTTCAAAATAAAACTAAGGCCTTAATTGGTATTAAAATGTCTTAAATCAGTCTTTCGTAGGTCTTAATTTTTAAAACATCATAAATAGGATTATTTTTATTAAGATTTATTTTTGTAATCTAAATAAAACATTAAAATTGTCTTTTTTTTTTTTTATTTAAAAAAAACATAACGGCTCGACATTATTGGTTCCGTCCCGATAGCGGAACCAATAAAGCGTTGTTGCGGCCGGGACATTTGGGAGATGCACCATTAACTTTTTGTCTGGTAAATATGAGCAAGTGTAAATGTAACCAAAATAGTCTCCAGCCAAGAGTTTCCTCCATGGCTAAAACCAGGGAACATACATGAGGCTCAGTGGATTTAGTGCAAGAAGTCATTCAAGCTCAGAACGATGGGAATTAAGGCAGTGGAGTCGCACATGCGAAGCACGAAACACAAAGCGTCAAAATGGAGTTAGAGAGAAACAGCCGGTATTTCTCAGTTTAGTTCCACCCTTGTCTCTGCAACGCCTCCACTTATCACCAAATCAAACATACTAAGAAAACCATACAAAGAAAAATAGCTGCTAAAAAGACTTAGCACTGGTTATGTTGGGGCTTTAAAACTGATTAGTTTTGTTCCCTGCTAAAACAAAGTTTGTGAATTCAGTTAAATAATTGTTCAAATATATCTGTCATTGGTGTGTTTTTAGCTTTCTTCCTGTATGGGAAGCTTTTCAACATTTGAACCATTAGTGCAGTGGTTTATGTTAAAATAAACCTTTGGGTTAAGTTGTTACAAGCAGGCTTTTCTTGTGTTTCTTGTAAATTTGGTAAATTGAAATTTTTATTTCAAGTGGCATTATAAAGTCTTAAATAGTCTTGAATTTAACTTGCCTTGTGTTGTAAGAACCCTGATTTAAAAAAATATATTTTTCATATTTTACTTTTTTAGCTTCCATTCAAATGTGAGAAGTTCTATCTCTAAAATATCTTTTATTTTCCTTAAGTTTAATGAATTTTTCCACGTTGCTCTCCCTTCACTTATGGGTGCGGGCTTTCCTCTAGTTTGGGGAGGGAACCTGCTTTTCTATTATTGTTTCAAGCAAATAATGTTTTTTTAATTTGAATAAAAAAAATGCAATCCAGAAATAAAACTTTAAAAAACATTTTTGAACTAAAAAAAGTTTTGAGAGTAACGTTTTTTGCCTTCCTACCCGGACAGATCCAAAAGCAGAGACCAGGCTTTATGTGACGGTCAACGGCTTCGAGTTTCACGTCTACAACCGGACCGACCTCTACGCGCGGCTTCAGGAGACGTTTGGCCTGGAGCCCACGCTTCTCACCACCAAGAAGGAGGAGGAGCGGGGACAGGAGGAGCGGGCCGAACCCCTGGAGAGGTCCGTCCGCAGCCCGCCGGGTTTGTCTTCCCTTCGTTCCTCAGATGATTTCAGCTGAGAATCTGTCTTCTGCAGTGTGAACATCAGTGCGGAGAGTCCAGAGCCCACGTCGTCATGGCGATCCCTCATCCCTGTGATTAAACTCAACATCAGCACGGTAAGCCCCCCCTCCCCCCTCTGTTTGTGGATCTGTCCTCCGCTCAGAAACTCACGTGTTGCGTTCTGGTTCTGCGTTTCTCCTGTAGGGCCGCGTGGCGTTCGGGAACCACCACCTCCCTCAGACGCTGTGTGTGAACTTTGAAGACGCCTTCCTTACGTACGCCACCAAGCCGCCGTCCAGCCACCTGGACCAGTACATGCACATCGTGAAAGGATCGCTGGAGAACGTGCGCGTCATGCTGGTTCCCAGTCCGCGCTACCTGGGAATGCAGAACGACGAGTGAGTTCCTCTGATGTTTGGATGATGTTTCATCAGAACTCTCCTTTCCCTCCTGGTTTCCTCTTTAATAGCAGGAGGCCTGAACTGGCTTCTCTTAATGCGTTATTTTCTATGCGTCCTGTTTTATTTGGTGTCTGTGGCAACAATAAAGGTAGGAGGTAAAATGAGAATGAAGCAGCAACAGAAAATGTAGTCTGGATTTTCTAATAAACTAAATCACTGGGAACCGCAGAGGATTCTGATGTTCCACTTTCAACACAGACCCCCCCGACTGATGGGCGAAGGCTTCGTGGTGATGCAGTCCAACGACGTTGACATCTACTACTACCAGGACGAACCAGGTGGGCTTTGCTCCTCACAAAAACCCTACCTTCCTTCTTTCCTTCCTTCTTTCCTCCTTCCTTCATTGCTTCCTTCTTTCCTCCTTCCTTCATTGCTTCCTTCTTTCCTCCTTCCTTCATTGCTTCCTTCTTTCCTCCTTCCTTCATTGCTTCCTTCTTTCCTTCCTTCATTCCTTCCTTCATTCTTTCCTTCCTTCCTTGATTGCTTCCTTCTTTCCTTCCTTCCTCCATTGCTTCCTTCTTTCCTTCCTCCCTTCCCTCATTGCTTCCTTCTTTCCTTCCATCTTTCCTCCTTCCTTCTTTCCTTCTTTCATTCCTTCCTTCATTGCTTCCTTCTTTCCTTCCATCTTTCCTCCTTCCTTCTTTCCTTCCTTCTTTCCTTCCTTCCTTCCTTCCTTCCTTCCTTCCTTCCTTCCTTCCTTCCTTCCTTCCTTCCTTCCTTCCTTCCTTCCTTCCTTCCTTCCTTCCTTCCTTCCTTCCTTCCTTCCTTCCTTCTTTCCTTCCTTCCTTCCTTCCTTCCTTCTTTCCTTCCTTCCTTCATTGCTTCCTTCTTTCCTTCCTTCCTTCATTGCTTCCTTCTTTCCTTCCTTCCTTCATTGCTTCCTTCTTTCCTTTCTTGCTTCCTTTATTGCTTTGTTCCTTCCTTGCTTCCTTCCTTGCTTCCTTCTTTCCTTCCTTCCTTTCTTGCTTCCTTGTAAACTCGCGACCTCTGTGCTTCTCTTAACCCCCCATCAGGTCTGGTCCCGTTGGAGCAGGAGGGAGGGGGGGAGGCAGAGACGAGCAGCGAGGAAGATAAACTGCAGGACCTTCCTCCATGCTGGGGGCTCGACATTGTTTGTGGTAAAGGAACCGACTTTAACTACGGACCGTGGGCCGACCGGCAGAGGTGAGCAGACCAATCAGATCTCGGCTGAATCTGATCCTTAAGCTGAATATTGAGGGAAAAAAAACTTCCATTGGTTACATGAAAATCTAAAAAGAAAAAAAGTTATAATTGTTTCATTACCATTAATTAATCTCCAAAATGCCCCTCAACTCTGTTTTTATTGGAATTGATCTTTGTTTATAAGCATACTGGCATCTGGGATTTGAACCCCAGACCTTAGTGTTGCTAGTCTACCGTTCCCCCCCAGCTGTTGGACCAAATAAACCGATGGCGTGGACTGTAACTGTAACCATTCTGTTTGCATCATGACATGTTTGAGTCGCTCTGGAAGTGAGGAACGTTTGTCTCTGCAGGGATTCCCTCTGGAAGTTCTTCCTCCCGGCCGACTACCAGGTCATGGACGTGAGCGAGGTCCCACAGCCGGGAAAACCCAGACAGATCCAAGCCTTCGAGCTCCGCATGAACATCATCGCCGACGCCACCATCGACCTGCTGTTCACCAAAAACAGGGTGACTGACTGCTGCCTTGTTTGATCCCACTTCCTGTCTGTGCCGAGGGGCTCCTCTTTGTCTCTGAGCCTCGCCAACCTTTCAGTTAGTGATGTTGGCGTTTTATTCTATCTGAAACCGTCCTCCTTAAGCTGAGGATGTGAAAGGCACGCCGAATAAAGAAACAGGAACAGGCTTTAGACGAAGACGATCGTCCTTTTTCCTTCCCTGCTTTCAGCGTTTTGTCTTCAGGTTAGGTGTCTCTTTTATTTTTAGTCTGTGATAATGAGACGTCTCTGTTTGTCTTCCCCCCCCCTCTGCTCCGTCTTCATCGCTGTTACTAGGAAACCAATGCCATCCATGTGAATGTAGGCGCAGGCTCGTACCTGGAAGTCAACATCCCCATGACTGTGGGAGAGAATGGTAAGTAGGTGTTTCACAGCAGAAACAGAAGTAAACATCTCCACGGCTCCAGGTTAGATGTATGGATCCTAGAACCACTTATTCTACCTTTTATTAGTTCTCCTTATGGTATGACTTTAGCTTTAGCTCTGGGTAAACATGGTGGAAACGCTAATAAGTCAGCAAACAGCAGAGAGGAGTCTCAGTGGGAGAACCAGAGTCAGTCTGTGTTCTGTCAGATCAACATACCCATTCTCATGTGTTTATGTATAGTTTTGTCCAAAAAATAGACTTTAAACTACCTCAACAGGCGTGTATCCCTTTGGTCATGTACAAAATAAAACAATTTCAAGTCAGATCACCATACGCTTCAAAGAATAGTTTTGTTTTTTTTTGTTCATGACTAAAGGGATAGACGCCCGTTGAGGCTAAAAGTCGGCCCGATGGAAAAATTCTCGCAGGCCTGGAGAATCGTCCCGAAAATGGCAAAAAAAAATCATTCAGTGTCAAAGTCCAGCCTTCTCTGGCTTTCCCCGCCCATACTCTCTGTTGCCTAGCAACTGTGACACTTGACACACAAGGCAGCCAAAGAATGGATACGGAACTTCGCCCTACTGTTCTGGGTGCTAATAACATTTCTGAGAAGCTTCAGCAGCAGAACCGTCGTCTCAGATATCTAGTCTCCACACTACAGAGATGTTTTAATGTGAGCTTAAATGTTAGTTAAACCCATTTCCACAGTAAAAGATAAAAACCTTTCAATTAACCAAACCTTACCCGCCACATATCTGACTCAATAACCTGTCTTATTGTTGGCCAGGGCCAACACAGATCCCTTTTTTTCCAACCCACACTTGGCGCTGTGGTCCTGAATTCGATTCGAATCTGATCTTTTCAAATGCAACCTGTGTCTGCAGGGTTTCCACGGGTCATTAAAAATCACTAAAAGTCATAAAATGTGATTATTGTGGCATTTAAAATGCTTTCTTTAAAAAAAAAAAAAGAATAAGCTTATAAAAACAATTCTATCAGATATATTATATTGCGATATATTTGCGCAGAACTGATTCCGGTTGATCGCAAAGCCATATGTTTGGAAAAGAAGCTTGAGTCAGAAAAAAAAGGTAGAGAATGGGAAAATGCTAATTCAACAAAACTGGCTGGAAAAGAGGAACTCGGGACATGGCTGCAGACTGTCGACGGGTACCTGTTGGTGGCATTAAAAGTATTTCTAAGAGCATTAAAAAGTATTAAATTAGAGTCACTCATTCCTGTATAAACCCGGGTCCGAACAGCCAAGTCGCATTCATCCAACCTGAACGGCATTAATACCCGACGAAGGTCACAATTCTGCGTCTCGCTGTGCAGAAGCAGCAAGAAAAATGACAACCATGATGCGGAGAGTAGTATTTATGTTTAACCATCTGGGAAAGATCGCTAGATGTTCTCCAGCGCTACCAACATTGTTTACTTCCATAAACACAGAGCATCCTTGCTTATGCAGGGTTCCCGCGGGTCCTTAAAACGTCTTAAAAGGCATGAATTCTTCAAAATAAAACTAAGGCCTTAATTGGTATTAAAATGTCTTAAATAAGTCTTTCGTAGGTCTTAATTTTTATCATACATAGGATTATTTTTATTCCGATTTATTTTTGTAATCTAAATAAAACGTTAAAATTGACAACTTTTTTTATTATTTAAAAAAAAAATAACTGCTCGCCATTACTGGTTCCGTCCCAATAGCGGAACCAATATAAGCGTTGTTGCGGCCGGGACATTTGTCTTTTTGTCTGGAAAATATGAGCAAGTGTAAATGTAACCAAAATTGTCTCCAGCCAAGAGTTTTCTCCATGGCTAAAACCAGGGAACATACATGAGGCTCAGTGGATTTATGCAAGAAGTCAATCAAGCTCAGAACGATGGGAATTAAGGCAGTGGAGTCGCACATGCGAAGCACGAAACACAAAGCGTCAAAATGGAGTTAGAGAGAAACAGCCGGTATTTCTCAGTTTAGTTCCACCCTTGTCTCTGCAACGCCTCCACTTATCACCAAATCAAACACACTAAGAAAACCATACAAAGAAAAATAGCTGCTAAAAAGACTTAGCACTGGTTATGTTGGGGCTTTAAAACTGATTTGTTTTGTTCCCTGCTAAAACAAAGTTTGTGAATTCAGTTAAATAATTGTTCAAATATATCTGTCATTTGTGTGTTTTTAGCTTTCTTCCTGTATGGGAAGCTTTTCAACATTTGAACCATTAGTGCAGTGGTTTATGTTAAAATAAACCTTTGGGTTAAGTTGTCGCAAGCAGGGGTTTCTTGTGAATTTGGTCTTAAATTTTTATTTCAAGTGGCATTAAAAGTCTTAAAAAATGTCATTTCGTCCTCTACTGCGCATGTGGGACATGTAAGCTGTATGAATTCAGTTCACACAGGAGATCACATACAAGTCGCATATATTTGGAAATGTGAACGGCAACGCAAAAAAAAAAAGAAACTGTGTAAACGTAGCCAAACTGTCTCAACAAAATCATCAAACGATCAAACCAGTCTAACGATCCACCTTTAAGTAGGTTTTTGTTTATGACCAAATATAAATCTTTGGCTGTCCTGCCTGGCTTCAAATGTCCCATTTATCAGTTCCAGGGATGTGAAGTCTCCTTTGGTTCATAATAATCCACAAAAAAGAATATTAAATTATATCTGCAATAAAGTGTCTGCCTGTGGGGCTGTGATCCATCAAAGCTTGTTTTCTTGCTTTGAGTCAGAAATAAAAACGATAAAAAAATTTTTCTTCCGGTCGCTGCATCTGGTCCGTTTGTTTTCAGCTCCATGTTTCCCAGTCAAACCAGTCCAGAGTTTTCTGACGGATTGCTTCTGAAGCTGCGGTGGCCTTCGTGGATGAAATTATGATAAATGTTGATCTTTAACCTGAATCCGTGATGCAAAGATCTATTTCTACCCAACAGATGGTAAATGGGAGGAATCAGTCAGTCAAGCTCTGGAAATTAGGTCATAAATTTAGTGCAGCAGTTAGAGAAGAAATAAGAGTGTAGATTAAAACAATATTTCCATTATATTCATATCATGTTTTCTAATCTATGAGATCAGCTGGAAACGGAGCAGCTTTGCTGTTTTTCTGGCTGCATGCAGGAGTTTAGAACGAGGCAGCAGCCTGTGAGGTATGGAGAGCCGTTTCATTCATTATTCAATAAATAAATAAAACGTTGCTATTGATAAATATTCCATAAAATATAAATCACCATGAAATAAAAAAAGTAAAAACAATTATTTTATTATATAATCATGTAGTATTATTTTGTGACACTTTTGTTTAACTCCTTTTATTTCCTGTTATTTTTTGACTGCAAAAAATCTAAATCTAGATAAGTCATTTTCTCTTATAATAAGTGCATTTGTTCTTGAATTGAGGAGATAAAAGAGACATTTTGACAATGGAACAAGACAATTTACACTTAAAATTAGAAAACAGAATTGCATCGTCTTATTTCAAGTGCATATTACCTAATTATCTTATTTTAAGAGTAAAAATACTCATTCCATTGGCAAACTACCTCGTTTACCTGCTCAAATTAAGGGTGAATACACTTAATTTAAGAAATTTTTACTCATTTCTAGATCATTTTTGCAGTGTTGATGCGGGGGCAGAGTTTTATCTGTCGGGTGGCGCTGGTTAGAGTTCAGCGACGTCAAATATAATAAATCATTTTATTTCATGGGGATATTTATTTGATAGAATATTTATTGATGGCAGAATTTATTTAATTTCGAATGAAACGGCTCTCCGTAGTGAGACACAGCTGTGGGAAGCAGTGAGTGTTATCAGACGGTAACGGAGCGATGGCTGCTTCCACCAGAGGGCGCTAAACTGGTAAAAACACCGAAAAGTCATCAGATTTTCTCCAGCTGCTTTTTTTAAAACAAAAAGTTGTTTGAAGGATCTGAAAGTCACCAAATATAACAGAGTTGGCAACACTGGACTGTTGGCTCCAGTTTTCTTTCACTGAGAGCAGAGCCTTGTAGCTAACAGTTAGCGTTATGTTGGGAGGGATTTTTTTTTTTTTTAACTTTGTATATTTGCTTTTTAAATAAACATAAACAAGAACACACATTGCAAAACATTCCTTGGCACATAGATTATGTAACAGTGTATGACTGAGAGCAAGTAAAAGAAAATCCTGCATCCATGAAGCTGACTGATAAAATGGACGGATAAACTTTCAGTTCAATTGGAAATAAATCTCTCTATAGGTAACCATCTCTTTACAAAAACATCAAACTTCAGTTGTAATTGGGCAGATAAATCCTCCATTCCATAAACCTCCTTCACTTTCTGCTTCCACTGTGCAACCATAGGAGGCAGTGCATTCCTCCATTTTATCGTTACCATTTTTCTAGCAGTCATCAGTAGAATATGTAGTAAATACTTTTGATCTCTGGAGTACTTGTCCTCAGGATTTAGGTCCAAAAGAAACTGTCTCAGAGTGAACGGCAAGTCAGTACCCAGAACCCTGTCTATCTCACTCTTTACCCCCCTCCAGTAAGGGAGCATCATTGGGCAATCCCAGAATATGTGCAGGTGGTCGCCAATCCCTCCACATTCTCTCCAGCAGTACATCGCAGCTGGGTTATCTACAAATTTAGAGATCACTAAGGGTGTCTTAAAGAACCTTGTCTTCATCTTCCAGTCAAATTCCTTCCAGGTGTTGCTATTAATACCCTTATGACATCCAATACATATTGTTTCCCATTCCCCATCCTCCATTATAATGCTGGGAGGGATTTAACGTTAGGCTTTACTAGGCAGTTGCCTACGGCCCCAAGTTCCATCTAAAACACAACAAAATGCAAAGAATTTGTCTCATTTTGCTGAAAGGACCATTTTATATAAAAAGACCAGAAGCATCAGATTTCATCATCATATCCATGGAAAACTTTACAAACATGTTTTTAACAACAGGAGCAAAAAGTGTTAATTACACATTAAAAAAGCCACAGGAAGGCACATTCTTAACATGTTTGAACTGCTGTGGTTAAGTTGCCTAACAGTTGCAGCATTTATCACCAAAAACAAAACGATCTAAACTTTAAAATCACGAGTGATGGAAAGACTTTTTTTTTTTTCATCTTTCGATTCCCTCATAGAAATCAACTCCTCTGGTGGTTAACCTTTATTTATTTATCAGTTTTGTTGAGATTGTTCACTTTGCTGGTGAAGATTCTCAGTCATCCAGGTCACGGACTTTGTTTCCAAGCTTGAAGACGTTTCGCTTCCCATCCAGGAAGCTTTTTCAATACAAATGGTCAGAAAAAGGGGGTGATTTCCCTTTTAACGTTCCCTTTACAGGGGAACATAACACCTCGCCTGTTCAGCCAGGCCAACAATTCCCTCTATTCACCCCCCTTTCAGAGACACAGACAGGTATGGGGCATTACAGGCTAACAAAGACGCTATACGACTCCCCATTCCAAAGGGGGGGGACCCGTTCATCCGTTTCTTTTTGGATGTTTTCTAAACTAAAACCAGGCTTTGTTGCGCTGCTGGATAAAAAGTGGAACTAAACGCTATTTCTGACATTTTGAATTAATAAAGCTTCCTGGATGGGAAGAGAAACGTCTTCAAACTTCTCTTTTTACTTTTTGGAATTGTTCACTTTAAAAATCAGGCAGTGGTGAGATGTGGGTCTTTTAGCCCCGCCCCCATTGTCCACACAAGTATTTCAGAGAATGTTGCAATGAGTTCTCATGCCAGCAGGAAGTTTCCCCTGGTTCTCCTCCATGTCTAGATGTGCAGCAGACGTTACAGGAAGAGATCTTTTAGCTCCGAGCATTTTTTGGTTCCTCATGTTTATTTCTTTTGTTTCTGCCCTCAGGCTACTCTCCCACCATCAAAGGTCAGCTGCTCCACGTGGACACCACCAGCAGCATGCAGTTCAGGACCCTCCTGGAGGCGGAGATGTTGGCTGTGAGTAATGGATTCTCCCGCAGCCCCGCTTTGATGGAAGCCATTGGAAAACGAAGCCGCCTTTTTTCTGTTTCAGTTCCATGTGATCGCCAGCTACCCCCGCGTGTGGAATATGCCCCAGTCCTGGCAGTGCGAGATCGAGGTCTACAAGGCCACCTACCACTTCATCTACGCTCAGAAGAACTTCTTCACAGGTCAGGGAGGCAGTCAGTCAGTACCACAGCTGCATGGAAGCAAATCTGTCCCAATTAGAAAGGATTCATAGAAACGCTTTTTATTTAAAAACATAAACAAAGCTGTATTTTCAGACTTGCAAATTAAGGCCCTGCCACACCTTGCAGATTTAGCAAGCGTGTGCTCGACATCCCAGACTGTCCTACCTCAGCATGCTCATAACTTTTTTTGTATTTTCCGTACGTCAGGCATACGCTGGTCTAAATCGTCAAGGTGTGACAGGAGCTTAATTCTCAGACTGCTCAGTTTTCTGAGGTAGTTAGATCAATAAATCAAATAACATTTATATATGATTTCATAAAAAAAATGTCCCAGCAAAGAAAGACATGAATGTATTTAAATATGTCGGATTTTATAATAGAAATGCTTTTTTTTTGTCAAAATAAGCTGCATTTGGCAACACATATAAAAGTACAAAGTAGATAATAAAAAATCCCTTTCTTCTGCAGGATGCTTCAGTTTGCATTAGGGATGCACGATATAATCGGCCCCCTATCGGTATCGGCCTTACAACTGAATATCGGACATCGGCCACCCCACCGATATTTAACCCGATATTTGATCAGCTTCTGAGTTTCTAAAGTCTAAAAAAAAAAAAATAAATACTTCTTCTCCTTCTTCCTCAAAAACTTCTTTTTTACAGACTTAAAAACTTCTAAAGACGAGGGAAAAAATATTGATACATTAAAATATCCCAATATCTTCATATGCTGATATATTGCCATTTAAAAACACCATATCAATCTCTTTTACTAATGAAATATTGCTATATGTCATCGTTATGCTACGAAATCCCCCGAAAACTCACCAAATGTTGCCATATTTTTATATGTTGATATATTGACGCGGTATCGATCTATTTTACTAACAAAATCTCACAAGAATTTGCAAAATATCACGAGAGTTTGTAACACAACGATGAAATTTCACCAGATTTTGAAAGTAAAATAGATCGATACCGCGTTTTTAAAAATCTATTTGATATCAGCATATGAAAATATATTTGAGTTTATTATTTTTCAAAGTGTCAGAAATGGATAACAAAACTGCTATTTTCAATGACTACTTATTTTTGTCCAGCTTTAACATCGGTATCGATATCGGTTATCGGCTACATGAGTTTTAAAATATCGGATATCGGCCAAAATACCAATATCTTGCATCCCTAGTTTGCATATTAGTTAAAATGATGAACAAAAAATGGTTCATGTTTCATTTTTAAAAGATGTCCCAGCAAAAAAAGACCAAAAGTCCTTTGCATAGGTTGGATTTTCTAATTAAAATACTTGATAGAAAAGATTTTTCATTTTAAGAACAAAGCTGATTGTTTTACTTAAAAAAAAATAATAATTAAATCTAAATAATCCAAAATATATTTACATTTTCTTCTGACTTCTGTTTGAAATTTTAAATAATAAAACAGTTTTAAATTTCAAAAGATGTATGCAAAAAATTTGCCAAAATTATTTCCAAATGTCTTTTTTTATTGGAATATATTAACAGAAATGCTTCATTTTTTTTATTTTGTTCCGTTAATATAAAATTGGTACATATTTGCTTCCATACAATCAAACAGTCTAGCTCTCCTCTTCTAAAAGATCTGAGTGCATCCATCCAAAGAAGCTCGTTCCTTTCAGATTTGATCAAGGACTGGGCGAGCGACAGCGCCCCAGACATCTACTCCTTTGTTCCCTATTCCTGGAAGTTCAAGATTCTCTTCCACCAGTTTGAGATGATCTGGGCAGCAAACCAGCACAACTGGATCGATTGTTCCACCAAGCAGCAGGAGAACGGTGAGGCGCCGCCCTGGGTCAGGTTTATGGAGCTAAACTGGAGCTTCACTGTAGCTTCACAATGTTATTTGGAAACCGAAAACAGACTTAATACTGAAAAAGGTTTTACAAATTTGAATTCACATTAAAAAGACATTTAAGCAAATACTTTTCAGATTGAAGGTTTTAACAAAGTGCAGCCTCCTCAGTGTGGGGCTGGGACACTCTGAGGGTAACTGCAACAGGGGCCAACGTTGGCCCGTCTGAGGCGGCCGGGGCCAGCGTTGGCCCGTCTGAGGCGGCCGGGGCCAGCGTTGGCCCGTCTGAGGCGGCCGGGGCCAGCGTTGGCCCGTCTGAGGCGGCCCTCTCTCTGCATAGCCATGTGTGAAGTACCGCTGGCTCTGATGGAGTTTTTTGTTTTATTTGGTAAAATGTTGATTTGATTTGTGTTTATCTGACTGTGTTCATTATTATTCCCCCGCTAAATGAAAAAAGTCAGAATTTATTATTATCTAGAGACTATTAATAACAGGAGGCTCCAGACTAGCTTTGAATGTGGTGATGTCATCAGTGCACTTCAGTTCCAGTTGACCCATATTTATTCTGTGTGCTCCCATCCTCCCCGAGTCCAGACTTTACTGGGTTCTTCTCAAAAACAGACTTGGCAAGGATACGAGTCCGTACTCGCATTCTTGTGAATTGAGAAACGGCCCAGGTGTTGCATTTAAGAACCCTGGAAACGTCTTTAAAACTTAATGGATATTCTATGTCTATGTTGTTGTGAAAAATGCCTCATTGCTTTAAAGACATTTCTAGTTCCCTCGGTTCCTAAATGCAACACCTTTATTCTCACTTTGAAACTTGAAAAAAAAAAAAACAATTGTGATAAATAAATTTTAAAAGAGTCTAATAAGTGTTTTTTTGGGGAAATGCATGTGTATTCAAAGGTTTGACCAGTAGTTTTACTATTGTTTTAATTTCTAACGTTAGTTTCACTTTTTTTTCTAAGTTGTCCAATACAAAAGTTCCTCCACCCTGAAATTTAGAGATTAAGATCTGAGAAAATATAAAAAAGGGAATAAAAAAAATCTGAAATAATAAAATAAGACTAAACCAAATTATTAGAGCCTTTGCACATATATTAGAAATCATTTTTATTACCGATGCAAGTTTTATTTTTAAAATGGTTTATTTTTTCAATCTGTTCATTGCCTTCAGTAATATTGAAATACACTTCTCTCCATAGATTTCTAAAGGTAAAACAGACCAGGGAATCAAAACCTCCTTAGTAGTTGTTTTCACCTTTTTCCATTTGTCTTTAGCTGGAAGCCATTTTCACCAGATAAAGTCATCATAAACGCTGGAAAAACCCTTTAAAGGATCTATACTTCCTGTTTCTACTGACATAAATCTGCCTTTACATCATATATTCTAACATATTGTGGGGAAACTGTATGAAAAGGTTTCAGGTTGTCATGATGAATAAAGCTTTGTTATATTTTAGGTCCTTTGGGATCAATGGCTGAATTAGTGTTAAATCCTGTTAAACTGTGACGGCTCCGTCTAAGTCTCCATGTACTGTAAGTCCAGTCCCTAATCCTCCAGCAGGCGGGATAATCAATTGCTTTATTGATCGTCTGCAGTGTACCTGGCAGCCTGTGGCGAGACGCTCAATATAGACTTCACTCTGCCTTTCAACGAGTTCGTTCCGACCACCTGCCACACCCGCTTCAGCCTCAGGGTGAGTCCCGCCACTGCTGCATTCCAGACATAAAAACATCGACCTGCTGTTGTTGTTTTTCATCAGACTGAGCTTCTGTATGTTTTCTAACCGATTCACCATCATCGCCTCGTTTGTCCTCCTCAGGCCGAGGATACAGACATGCGACTGTCTCTTCCAGAGTGCCACCCGAGCCGCTACCCCCTCCTCACTTTGGCCAAAGACTACCAGAACATCAAGCTGCCGCCTGACATGTTTGTGTCCGGGGAGAACCAGGGAGGGCCCCCTCCGAAGCCTGGGAAGCTGCGCTGGAGGCACATCACCAATGAGTGAGCTAAACCTGGGAACGGCTCCCAGAGTTAAGAGCCTAAACCTGGGAACGGCTCCCAGAGTTAAGAGCCTAAACCTGGGAACGGCTCCCAGAGTTAAGAGCCTAAACCTGGGAACGGCTCCCAGAGTTAAGAGCCTAAACCTGGGAACGGCTCCCAGAGTTAAGAGCCTAAACCTGGGAACGGCTCCCAGAGTTAAGAGCCTAAACGTGGGAACGGCTCACAGAGTTAAGAGCCTAAACCTGGGAACGGCTCCCAGAGTTAAGAGCCTAAACCTGGGAACGGCTCCCAGAGTTAAGAGCCTAAACCTGGGAACGGCTCCCAGAGTTGGGAGCCTAAACCTGGGAACGGCTCCCAGAGTTGGGAGCCTAAACCTGGGAACGGCTCCCAGAGTTGGGAGCCTAAACCTGGGAACGGCTCCCAGAGTTGGGAGCCTAAACCTGGGAACGGCTCCCAGAGTTGGGAGCCTAAACCTGGGAACGGCTCCCAGAGTTGGGAGCCTAAACGTGGGAACGGCTCCCAGGGTTAAGAGCCTAAACCTGGCGCGTTGAGGGTCAGCCTCCATCGAATGGTGATGCAGCTGCTCTGGCGGCGTGCTGACTCTGCGTCTTTGTCGCCCTTCCTCAGAGCTGGCTGGGTGGACTGCTGGAGCGTTCCAAACTTCCTGCTCATCATCGACTACACCTGGCACCCCATTTATCCCCAGAAGGCAGACGAACAGCTCAAACAGTCATGTAAGCGCTCTGCTGTTGCGTTTCACTGTTTCCATGGTTTCGCTGTCTGCTAACCTCTGCGTGCATCGACACCCAGTCTCTGAGATGGAGGAGTCCATGCTGTCGGCCCTGCGGCCCCCTGAGCAGAGCTCAGCTCCGCGCTACACCTCCAGCTCCGCTTCGGCCGCTCACAGCCGGGCCCCCGCCGACCCGTCGGAGCTGCCCCCCGACAGACTTCACGTGGAGATGGAGATTTCCCCGGATTCTCAAGTTCTTCTCTACGGGCCGATGCTGCGAGCCCTGCTGGCCATCAAGGTCTGCGGAACCGCTCAGCCTGGAACGTCTCCGTCCGCCGAGCTGCTTCCTGAACTCGTTCTGCTCTTCTTCCCACAGGAAAACTACTTCGGGGAAGACGACATGTACACGGACTTCGAGGAGGCCGTGTCCAGCCCGGTTCTGTCCACGGCGACGTCCTCGGGCCTTGGCTGGATGGATGACGGCGAGCAGAAGGACGGCTCAGACGCCCACCCTCTGGACCTGCGTCCCTGGGACATCACGGTGCTCATCAACCTCTACAAAGTCCACGGCCGGCTGCCGCTGGTGAGCAACGTTCCCGTTCACCTCTGCACGAAGTTTTGTAGTGATTTCTGTAACATGAACGCGATTCGCCGCTCGATTCTTCCAGCACTGCAGCAGCGAAGGTCCAGAAGGCCCGTCTGGCTTCCTGGAGCGGCTCTGCTTTGAAATGAAGAAGGGTTACAAGGAAACCATGCTGCAGATGATCCTGTCGCCCATTCACATCTTCGTCAGCGACAACTACCAGGTACCCGATCAGGCAGAGAGCTGCGTTCATAAAAAGTTCAACCAGTGTTTTCACAGTTTGCTATTATATTCCGATTTTACTCTTTAAAAAAACAGTTACAGTTCTGGGTCAAACAGCGTTTTTATTACTCCCATCACAGACCACCCAGAAATGAGGGGTTAACACTAGGACTCCCAGAATTCTGATCCTGCTAGAACTCCACTGGCCGTTAATTTGACGGCTGACATTTTAGTAGTGATGATGTCATCAACTGCCATGGTTCTAGTGTGCGATATAAACCCATTGTGGATATGTGCCCCTTAAAACAGGTCTAATATTTGAAAGGCTGTATTGTATGCAATTATTGTTTGTGGTCTAAATTAGTATAAAAAAAAACGGTAAAATAAGAGTTTTAGCACAGAGTTTCAAAGTTAGAAATTACAATTTAATTTTTATAGAAATTGATTGATTCCCCCTTGAACATTTCCCCCATAACCACCTTTTCACATTACGACAAACATCATATGAGCATTTATTTTTTTTTTTTTAGTGCAGCGCTGAAGCAAAAGCCAAAGCTGCTCTACTGCGGGGGAGGGGCTGGTAACCCACAGTTTGCACGCAACCTTTTTACCAGTTCAAGGATAAAATCTCTGCATGTGACGATGACGTTCAAACAGCTCCTCAACAAAACCATATGGTTCCTGTTTGGCTATGACACCACGCTGGAGAGAAATATCAGCTTTAATTATAGATATTGGAGCTTGGCCTGTTTTCCAGTGTAAACCTGTTTCTCTGACTGTGACTAACTGGATGTGCTCTCTTCATCCTCTGACATGGGAGCTGGCTCGGAGCTCGTCTGCCTGGCTGTGTGTTTCCTGGACGGGGCCGCCTGTGGAGCTGGTTGACAGTTGCCTTTTGTATCTATGCTTCTTTTTCTATGTCTGCTTCTGTCTCCTTGAACCCCAGTGGGCCTCAGCAGATGGCCGCTCACACTGAGCCTGGTTCTGCTGGAGGTTTCTTCCTGTTCAAAGAGAGTTTTTCCTCTCCACTGTCGCTACAAGCATGCTTAGTGTGAGGGATTGCTGAAGAGTCAATGAGTCGATGCAATCAGCTGGTTTTCCTCAGACAGAAAACTTTGAATCAATCTGACTGGATGATCTGGTGAACTGGAAAGTGACCTGAGATGACATGATGTGAATTGGAGCTATAGAAATAAACTGAATAGAATTGAATATCGTGGCCCAAGTATTGTGACACATATCGTATCACAACACACAATACTCACCCCTAGTGCTTATAGTAGAGCACATGCTCTGGTTTGGCTTTTTGGCCGCTGAGTGTACCGTCTGAGATTGGGGCAGTGCCATTCCAAACTTGAACAAAAGTTTCACTATTGTCTGATGGGTCACCGATACGTCTGTATTTTCCTGTGGGTGGGGGTTCATACTAGGACTCGCTGTCAGAATCTGAGCCACTTCCTACCCAGTCCTCCCTCTCCGCACGAATGGCTATCATCAATATTAGGTAGCATTTGGCTGTATGATTATTTCTAAATGACATTTTTCCATATCAGCCAGAGTTTTTGATAGATTGTTGGTTGCTAGGCAACGGTACTGACTGTCAATCAACCGCGGGAAAAATTAACAATGCTACTAATAGAGGCGTCAAAATAGCGGCTGTGGGGGATCAAGGTAAAATGAACTATATTATAAATGGTTATATTTTGAACGTTTTAATTTCATTAAAAAACTACGTCAAAATAAAGGAAACATGAGCAACATATGATTAATGTAAATAAATTTCTTTCCCTTTAAAATCTCAAATGACGGCTTTGGGAGTTCTAGTGTTAAATCTGGAGAAAAGGATTTAATTCATTAAACTAAACACAAAACAATGAAATTTGAATGTCTGAAAAAGAAATCTAAAACATTTTTTTTTTTCCAGAAAAATTATTTTCTGAAATATTTTATTTTATTTATTTATTTATTTTCCCCCAGATAAATTTTTTCCTTGCAGATTTTTGGGGAGGCTGATTTTATATGAATGACGTTTTTTTTTCTCCCATATTTCCGGGTGCTCTGTGTTCTGACCAATAGAAATGCTGATTGATGTGGAGGTTATTTTGCTCTGACAGCGAATGTTTGTTGATGCTCTCCTCCTCAGCGGCCCACGGCGGACGGAGTGCTGAGAGACGGCCACCTGAGTCTCTCCGGGCTGCAGATGAGGGCCCACGCCATGTTCTCCGCACAGGGCCTCCCAGTGGCCAGCGACACCTTGGAGTACGCGTGGCTCATCGACGTGCAGGCCGGGGCGCTGAGCGGCAGGGTCACGGTTCCTCAGGTGTGTGACTCGTGAAACGATCGGCCTGCGTTCGTGTGAGGTTTGTTCGTTCACCGTGGATTTTCTGAACTCTAGCTGGCCAGCGTGGTGGAGTGGGCGGAGACCTTTGTTTTCCACGTGGTTTCTCAAGAGTTCCAGCTGGAGCAGCCAAAGCCCTCCATCGTCTGCCAGCACGGCGTTGATCGCCGCATCTGTGACGCCAAGGTATGAACGGCAGCAAAAAGTAAAATAAAGTATCCAAAGAAATAAACCAATCTGAGCTCATTTAGAATATTCAAAATACACAAATAAATAGTTAAAATATAAAGATGTACTCTTTTTATTTTATTCCGCATATTATAAAAAAATTACCTTTAGCTCTTAATTTTATGGGGGAAAAAATGATTAAAGAATCAATCATTAGTCGATCTGTAAGATCAGTCAACATAAGATGAATTAATTCATCAATAGCTATAATTTAACTGTTTTTATTTAAACATTTTAAGTGAAATATTTGTTTCTTTTGAATACTTTGATAACATAATATCAATGTTAAACAGATCATTTGAAACATATTTTTAATTATTAACTCTTATAGGGCATCCCCATACACCCCCCCCCCCCCCCCCCCCCCCCCCCCCCCCCTCGTCCCTCAGTGAGGTCTAGAAGCACAAGATCTATATCCAGCCATTCAGTAAAGATCCTACTACATGGCTATACATCTTATTTTTGCATTTGACCAATTAGATCAGCCCTTTAATTATTTATTACCTACTGCAAATTAAGTTGGGGAAAAAAAACTTTACAAGTCAAGAATAAAAAGGTAAAAAGTTAATAAGCCGAGTTAACAATTATAGTTAGGTTTATAAACTAAAACATGTAAGTACCAGTATCAGCATTAATGCCTTTAAGGTTATGTTGAACCAAAAAATATGTGTTTCTTTCACTCTCAGAGCGTTTTTCAGGAATTTCTTCTAGAAGCACTTTTGGTATTTTTCTTAATATATTCGGTCAAGTTGCCGTTTCTTTTTATTACACTGACAATTAATTTCTGCAATCAAAATATCCATATTTTTTCAATGTTAGAAAAGGGTTAATTATTTTACTCTTATTACTGATAAAAATAATGACAATATTTGCATCATTCATTAAATCAATGTTTATTTATTTCCTTCATGACCCATTCTGGTCCTCCGTAGGCCTCAGGGAGCCCCTGTTTTTTGAGTTTTTACGGCACTAGTGGCTCGTTTTTCTTAGAATAGGCTGAAAGGAAAGGCGGAATGAGGGAGGGGGAGAGACATGGCAAATAACCACAGGCCAGATTTGAACCCGGGTCGGCCACGTCGAGGACTAAGGCCTTCATACATTCGCACTAACCACAGGGGCCACCTGCATGCCCAGGGAGCCCATGTTTTCATCCATAATGTTTTTGAATTGGATGGGTTTAGATATATCAGGAAGTTGAACCGTGGCGCTGACAGAGGGTCAACTTCCCGCTTCTTGCTGTAGCTCAGAGGCTTCATGGCTGAATGTTTGTCTCACCTTCTCTTCAAACGTCTTGGAGATGAAATGTTTTAATGAAGCTGACCATAAAAGAACGCAGTTCGACTGTCTCCCACAGCCATGCCGAGGATAACGACACAAACGGCAGTAGAGTTCAGAGGGCCCGACGCCGTGCAATCCCTCACACTGAGCATGCTTGTAGCGACAGTGGAGAGCAAAAACTCCCTTTGAACAGGAAGAAACCTCCAGCAGAACCAGGCTCAGTGTGAGCGGCCATCTGCTGAGGCCCACTGGGGTTCAAGGAGACAGAAACAGACATAGAAAAAGAAGCATAGATACAAAAGGCAACTGTCAACCAGCTCCACAGCCGGCCCCGTCCAGGAAACACACAGCCAGGCAGACGAGCTCCGAGCCAGCTCCCATGTCAGAGGATGAAGAGAGCACATCCAGTTAGTCACGGTCAGAGAAACAGGACTACACTGGAAAACAGGCCAAGCTCCAACATCTAGAAACAAAGGTGTTGATGGCAGCAGCACAGCTGATATTTCTCTCCAGGATGGAGTCACAGCCAAACAGGAACAGACCAGATGAAGCTACTATGAGAAAAAGCAGAGAGAGCAGAAGGTTAGAGATTGAACTAACAGATTCTGCAGAGTGGGAGAATAGAGATAGAATGAAGCAGAATGATGAAAAAGGGGTCCCTATGTCCTCCAGCAGTCTAAGCCTATAGCAGCAGAACTATAGAGATAGCTCAGGATAACCTTAGCCACTCTAACTAGAAGCTTTATCAAAAAGGAAAGTTTTAAGCCTGATAGGAGAAGAGAAGCCAGGATAGGAGAGATATGATCTCTCTTTTTCATTTTCATCAGAACTCTGGCTGCAGCATTTTGGATCAGCTGAAGGCTTTTAACTACAGTTTGTGGACTTCCTGATAGTAAAGAATTACAATAGTTCAGCCTTGAAGTAATAAATGCATGGAAATCAGAGTTTGTGAAGAACGGAGAAAACAGAATCTGTCTCTGAGGACTGTTTGTCTTCCAGCTGAGCTGCCTGCCTGGTCACTGCCGCACATCTGAGGAGCTGAAGTACACCATGACCCGGCTGGCCGTGGACGGAGCCGACCTCTTCATCGTGGAGCACGGTTGTGCTGCCAACGTCAGGGTAATTAGCACCAAGGGCGTCACGCTCGGGGTCCCTGGATCTCTGACGGTGGGCTGATGTTTCGCTTTTTTTTTCCCCAGACGGGCATCATCCGAGTCGCCAACTGCAACCTGCACAACCAGGCGGTGGGGGAGGGGATCAGCGCCGTGGTGCAGGACGTGAACATCCGCCAGTACATCGAGCAGCTGGCCGGTCAGGGTCAGGGTCTGGGTCAGCCCCCGCTGCTGCGCCGCTCCGTCTGGCTGGAGGCGGGTTCGGTCAACCTGAACCTCGTCACGGCGGATATCGCCCTGGCCGCCGACCACCCGGCCAAATGTGAAGTCCAGAGACAGTTTCTGGAGCTGCATGACGCCCAAACCAAGAGGTAGGAGAATAAAACATCCTTTCTTTTTCTCTGCTGCATCTCATTACTCAGCTGTGAGTTCAGCCGTGGAACGATGGTAGAAACTGTTCAGATGAAAACTCTGCAGCTTCCCAGAGCGGCTGACTCACTCCTCTGTGGAGTGACTCACTGACTGCATGATGTCCAGCTGATCATCTGCTGCAGGTCTGTCTGCTTCTCACGCATCAGAGCTGAGATGATGAACCCAGAACGCTGTGGTTCCCTGGTATAAACTGCAGTCTGCTCTAAATCACTAGTCTAATATTGAACTAGCACCTTTATTTCTTCAGGACATTCCAGTAGAAACAGACTTGGCTGTTTTGACTCTATATTCTGTGGCTTTTTAAATATAGTTTAAACTGGTTCAAAACTGAAAAGGGTTTGTCACTATTTTATGTTGTAAAAAATACCTAAATTGCGTTTTTCCCTCCCCAAAAATGGTAAGCGTACTAAAATATAATGTGTTGAAAGTTAAGAATGTATTTCCTGAGTATGTCATTCTGAGCGTATCCGATGACATCAGAGAAGCAGTTTAACTAAGAAAATGTAAAAAGCATAAAAAGTGTTTTAGAAAAATCATAAAACATTTTTAGTGATTTAAAGTCGTATTTAAATGTCACATCATTCTGGCTTAAACATTTGTATAAATGTCTTCTTTATCAGACCATATTGTCCCAAAATTTAGAATATTTCCATTTTAAACAAAATCCTTTCTTAAAATCTGTTGGGTTTTTTTATTCGTTATCTTCTGCAGGCCAGTTAGTTCTACGTCAGCCTGAACACCTAAATTCGGCCAATCATATATCAACGGTCATCTGTCAATCAAATTTTTTTCAGTCATAGCATCTTGATTCATATGTCGCAGCTAATATACGCAACGGTTGAAATCAGAATCCTTTCCTTTCCCATTGAGTTGCGTCCCAGTGTTCACGGGGATGGACGTCTGTGTCTTCGGCAAGCGTAGAGCTAACAGAACTGGCAGCGTTGCGAGGCAAGGGCTCAAACATGTACGGCTGGAAGCCTTCTACACCAAACCAAGCTTCTGCCGCCCTGGCGTCCTCTTCCACAACATCTTCGTCCCCGCTTTCCTCCTCTAAATAAAAAATGGATGACGGAGGAGACTCATCCACGACCTCTAACACTAAACTCTCCTCCTCTTGCATGTTTCCGCTGTCCATAGCGTTCCTTGACAGCGTCGTTTCTAAGTCACCAATTTAGTGCTACTTGGTCCCAATGGAATTTCCCGTTGGGAACCTACTAGCATTAAGTCGCTAACTGGTTAGCAAGATGCTTCCCACAAACCGGCCACAAGCAAACTTGCTTGCGAACCTTCCGCCACAATAATCCCGCCTCCTTGATAATAGACCAATCACATTCACTTTATTCACTCGGGTGAATTCCGAACTGCAACGGTTGGAACAGCCGTTTACCTACGACTTTAAGGATAGAAATAAGTAATTTTAGTACCATTATTATTGCCAGGATTTAAATCTGGTTGCGCAAATGAGCCGATGGTACGGATCGTGCTTCCGGACGGATAGGTTAGTGACAGGTTTAATGTTGATGTTTTATCTGGATGGAGCTAGGAGACTCATCCACGACCTCCGACACTAAACTCTCTACACGACCTAGAATACATCATTTACCCAGAGTGCATTGCAGCTTAATCATGGCAGCGTCCATGTGACAATATTTTATTTCAATTTATCAGACCAAGCAGCTGAAAGTATTTTTGCTTTATTTACATTAAAAATGAATATTTCTCAAAAAGTCTGTTACGAATTGATCCTTTTAATTCCCATCGCAGCCCAATGATCATCCTAATGCCGACACAGTTACTATGGAAACATAATATTGAAACAATTACTATGGAATGCTGGGTAAAGACATCCGGGGGCTTTGTCCATTCTCTGTTCTTGACAATTAGAACGGTGCTGAGGCTGATGATGTTTCACGAGCACACGAGAACGCTGAAGTACACATACTGAGAAACGGCCGAGGTCTCCAAATGTCTGGTTTCATGATTAGAAAAAAAAAATTAATCGGGTAAAACTGTTTTCTCATCTAGCGCCCCCTGGTGTCCCCCTCTTTGAAAACCACTGGTCTAAACCATTAGCCTCGTGAGACCATCCTGATCTCGCGAGCTTTCAAGGTTTCACTCGCTAATCAGTCTGGAGACTCTCCGTTAAAGAAAATTTGGAGCCGTTCACCAAACGAACGTCCAATCAGCGTTGGCTTTGAAGCGGGTTGAGGTGTGACGCAACGAGAAGCGCGACAGTTCAGTCTAAAGAACATGGCGGCTTCAGCCGATGAAACTAGCGTTAGCGTGGCTATCGAGCAAGTTTTATGGGAATTACAGAGTATTTCTTCACTGAAAGAAGAGCAAAACACTGATCTGGAGGCTTTTCTCAGAGGAAAAGATGTTTTTGCTCTTCTCCCCACTGGTTTCAGCAAGAGTTTGATCTATCAATTAGCTCCTCTTCGTCGTCGCTCTGTTAGTACGTCATATGCTTCATTGATCTGATTGGTTTATTTGGCCCGTCTATCACCAACATAGGCCAATCAGCTAACTAGTATTTTCGCCCCTTCCCAAAATTACTTCAACGGAACGTTTCCAGATGGATATGCGGAGCAGATCCATCTGGCGGAGTCAGGTTACTAAACCATCGCATTTTTTATAGAATCCAGTACATTTTAAGAAAGCGCTCATTGTGCCAGGTAAAAGAAAAAGAGAAACGGGAGTTTTCTAGTGATGCTGGGATATCCACGTTATTTTCTAGTCTGGAAAGCATCATTGTGTTTGTGAATCTCTAAAGATGTCAGACCGACCCATCGAGCTCAGACCTTTAAAGATTCTTATGCGTAGGTTAATGATGCAGTTTAACGCCGAGCAGATTGTAAATGTTTGACTGGAGCAGAGAAGCAGCATCAGCTCTGTTGCTCCAAAGGTTTTCCTTTCTTATCCTGCAGACCTTTCTCTAATTTAAACAGTGGAGGACCTGCTGGAGCCTGAGACCGAAAGCTCATCATCGCCTTCTGTAATGTTCTCCATTCTCCTCTTCCTCCCAGGCTCTGGTTCCTGTGGCCCGAAGACGCCAACATTCGCACCAAACGAAGCCGGAACCGCTGCGGCTGCCTGGGAGGCTGCAGGTTCTTTGGAGGAACCAACATGGGTCTGGACTTCTTCAGGCTGGAGGAGCTGACGCCCTCCTCCTCGACGGCCTTCGCCTCCTCCAGCGCCGAGTCGGACATGAGCTACGGCCAGTCGCTGCTGCAGCCTGGGGAGTGGATCATCACCAAGGAGACGCCTAAAGTGGACGGTAGGAAGAGATTAACGCTTTGTTTCTAACGGACTGAATGGGGAAGAGGAGAGATCTGAACACTGCGGCTTTCAGTCACTGACTTCTCCTCTAAGCTCATCATGAATCCAAGTTTTTATATTTAAATGATTTTCAAACAATCGACATCCTCTGAGGAAAAGGAGTTTCAATTCAGTTTATTTCAGTTTATTTCTATAGCTCCAATTCACATCATGTCATCTCAGGTCACTTTCCAGCTCACCAGATCATCCAGTCAGATTGATTCAAAGTTTTCTATCTAAGGAAAACCAGCTGATTGCATCGACTCATTGACTCTTCAGCAATCCCTCACACTAAGCATGCTTGTAGCGACAGTGGAGAGGAAAAACTCCCTTTGAACAGGAAGAAACCTCCAGCAGAACCAGGCTCAGTGTGAGCGGCCATCTGCTGAGGCCCACTGGGGTTCAAGGAGACAGAAGCAGACATAGAAAAAGAAGCATAGATACAAAAGGCAACTGTCAACCAGCTCCACAGGCGGCCCCGTCCAGGAAACACACAGCCAGGCAGACGAGCTCCGAGCCAGCTCCCATGCCAGAGGATGAAGAGAGCACATCCAGTTAGTCACAGTCAGAGAAACAGGACTACACTGGAAAACATGCCAGGCTCCAACATCTAGAAACAAAGGTGTTGATGGCAGCAGCACAGCTGATATTTCTCTCCAGGATGGAGTCACAGCCAAACAGGAACAGACCAGATGAAGCTACTATGAGAAAAAGCAGAGAGAGCAGAACGTTAGAGATTGAACTAACAGATTCTGCAGAGTGGGAGAATAGAGATAGAATGAAGCAGAATGATGAAAAAGGGGTCCCTATGTCCTCCAGCAGTCTAAGCCTATAGCAGCAGAACTATAGAGATAGCTCAGGATAACAGTAGACCCTGAGTTTCATCTGGTGTGTTTGTTTTTTTTCCCTTCTTTATTGTAGGTAAGGTTGTTGGGATTAAAAGAGACACGCACTCCCCCAACCTGCCCCCCGAGCTTCCAGAGAGGCGTGGTCAGCAACACCTCAGCCTTCAGGTTCCTCAGCGCTCCCACAGCTCCGCCTCTTCCTCAGAGGAAAACAGCTCGTCCAGCGCCGCCTTGCCTCTGCTGGCTGCAGGGAGAGACTCCCCCTTACCGAGCACCGAGGAGCGCGCCCTCCCCGTCTGCGGCAGGAACCATACAGAGTGAGTGACCAAGTGATGAGAGGGAATCATTCGTCTCCTCAGGATTCAGCAGTTTGTCTCATGGCTTTAACCTCCATAACCTTTCATCATCATGTCCTCTATTCTGTCAAGTAGAACTGTCCCTGCTCCATTAAATCACCTGCACAGCATCATTCTGCCACTGCCGTGCCTACCAGTAGACACGTGTTCTCAAGCTTCCAGTTTAAATGACCTTCTAGCCATGACATCATCAACTGAGTGAATTCTGGACTTTAATGGAAATCATCAGGGTTTCCAGAGAGCCTTAAAGGAAAAGTCCGGTCAGCAAGGAAAAATCATCATCTATACCTAAAACGAATAAGTTTGCCGCTCAGACACCAACATACCGACGGTGCTCTGTCACTGTGTATCCCCAGCAGCAGCCACCACAGGTCCGGTTGCCTACTGTTGGTGGCGTCTTCTGAAATTCTGAACATTTGAGTGAGGTTTCCGGGGGGGGGGAATTAGAACAGGGTAAACAATGTACGCCTGCACGCATTGCTAGCTAAATGCCTGCGAGTCGGTATCGCTTTCAGAAAGTAAACATTTCTATTGCAACAAATATCATTTGGGGAAAAATCTGAGGTTAATTTAAAATGTTGGCAAAATTTCAACCAATTTTTCAAATCGTTTTTATGGTTAAAAATTAAAATTGCTTTCAGTAATATTGGACCAAGTTTTCACAAAATGAAATCGAAGAGAGATATTAAAGAGATTCATGGCTTCAAGGTCAAGGCTGGTCCTTGAATTTAATGGAAGTCCTTAAAATGAGGGAACCTTGAGTGACGGAAACGTTTAGAGGCTGATGGATCTGAGGTGGATGTTTCTCTCTGAGTGTGATGATCTGCTCCCAGCTCTCTGACCTGCTGTGTTTCTGCTTGCAGCGCTTTGGGGGACGTCCCAGAGGTCTCCCCCGTCTCCCCCAACAGCTCCCAGGATCGTGTCTCTGTACGATCGCCTCTCTGCTCTCCCCTCAAGCGGCAGTCTTCCGTCCACTCCGGCCGGCTGGGCAGCACTAAGAGCCTCTCTGCTGCCCTCTTCGCTGACAAGCCGCCCCCGGTGCTCTCCGGTGGCGTCTGCGGCGTCCAGTTCAGCAGCGAGGTTTCCCGCAGCGACGAGAACGTCCTGGACTCCCCTCGCCAGCGCCGAAGCTACGGCTCCTTTCCCTTCACGCCGTCTGCCGACTCCAACTCCTTCCATCAGTACCGCTCCGCCGACTCCAGCATGTCTGTGGCCGAGAGCGAGGCGTACTACTCGGCCACCGAAGACTTTGAGCCAATCAGCAGCGCCGACGAGGGTCCAGGGACGTACCCAGGCCGTAAGAAGAAGAGGAGGCAGCCGCCGCAGCAGCCTCCGTACCACATGGAGAACTACAGGTCAGTGATGTTGAATGTTCTGCAGGAGCTTAGGTCCGAGATCAAACGCTGGAAGGTTCAGAACGCCTCACAGGAACATCAGAGAGGCCCTCAAGCTTTACTGATCTGTCTGGAGCGTTCTGACCTCGCCACATTTCACCATGAAGCCCTAGATGAGAATTAAGAGAGACGGAAATTAGATTAGATTAGATTAGAGAGGAAGGATCCTCAGCTGGATTTAAGAAGGAAGACGAACCCCTGGAAACACGTCAAAGTTTACTCCTCTCACAGCGAGCATCCATCCAATCACCTTCCCCTTGCCCATCATCCATCCATCCTGCAGACTCCTTCCAATAACCAGTAAACAACCTTCTCCTTTCCACCCAGCCTGAAGCTCCCAGGAGTGAAATGAGTGATTCTTTCTGGTTTTTATCACAGTGACCTGCAGCTGTCTGATTCTGAGAGCTTGAACCTCAGAGGTCGATGGTCTGTCACTTCCAGCCACGACCACCAGGCTGCAGGCTCAGATCGGCCATGTTTGCTTCATTTCTCGTTTTTACAATTTATTTTTTTTGTTTCACAATAAAACCAGAAAAACAAATAATTATTTTCTTTTTATTAAAAGTTTATTTTAAAAAGGAAAACTCTAAAACCAAAAAGGCTTCCTTTTACTTATTTTAATGGTTAAATTAAAGACTTATTCAGTATTTTATGACCCCAAGAAGGAGATTCTGGATGGCAGCAGCTGAAATGAGCTTCCTCTGCAGGGAGGCTGGGCTCTCCTTTAGAGATGGGCTCAGGAGCGGAGTCATCAGGGAGAGGCTCCCAGTACAGCCGCTGCTCCTCCACATTGAGAGGAGAATCAGACATTCTTGTTGGATGTCGCCTGGACGCCTCCCTCTGAGGGACGACCCAGGACACCCTGGAGGGACAGTGTCCCTGAGCTGGTCTGGAAGCGCTTCTGGCTTCCCCCAGCACAGCTGGAGGAGGCGTCTGGGAGTCCTGGACATGCGGAAGAAACTTGATTTTTAATTATTGCAACGATTTGCATTTCCTTTTCTAAAATGGGAAAAAGAGAAAAATAATACTGGTATTATTTATTTATTTATTATCTCAGAAGAACAAAGAACGAACCACACATGGATCCAGGAGATGAACAGTGTTCATCTGTTCACATCTGGGGCCCGGTTCAATAGGATTCCTCTTTTCTAATAAGATAGCAGTTTTTCAAATGTCGAATTTTTCTCCCCAGTAGATCTTTAAATATTGATGACAGAATATGGAGGTTATAAAAACATGTTTAACAGAAAAGGGCAGCAACGTTTCTGCTGCAGAATATTTCATTTAGCGTGGTGATTAGAAATTGAAGTTACATTTTGAACACTAATATAACATCAAACCCAGCAGCTAGAAGAAGGAAGGTAACAATAACAACTGATTTATCTACTGAAACGTGTCGGTAATTTGATATAAGAAGTTAAACTTAATGACTTCTTAAGAAAAGCAGCAGAAATGAGGCTGGAATGAATCCATCTCTGTACCTAAAGCTTCATGTTAAATAGCCGTACCAGATGTAATTACAAGGTTTTAATTGACTTCCATCATCTTTATTTTCTCTGAGGGGGGGATTGGGACGACTCCATATCATCCATACATGAGATGCAGAGTAATATCCAGTCATTTAGGATCATTAAGGAGCTTCTAAACTGCAGAGAGAAATAGTTTCCGGTTTGTTCTACACCGTGACAAAAAAACAGACGCTGTTGGAATTAAAAGCTTAACCTGCTGCCCCAACATGTTCTTTTTTTTCAATTCTATTTTTATTGTTATTTTCCATCTATCCGTTTATTCAATCTATGCGTTTATTCCATCGCATTGTCTAGCTAGACATCCATATTCCACAGGATATACAGATAGGGATGATTTGGTCTCCCTCTGGAAGACGCATAAATAAAAAACATTAAAAAAGAAATTAATAACATACAAAGATTAATAATATAACTGGCCAAGACCAACAATGCTGCGCTGCACTTTTGTTATAGAATGGGGAAAAAATAAGTAAATAATTTTCTGATGCAGAAAGTAACCTGTAGCTCTCACCTTAAAATAAATGCTGTAAAATAGATTATTAATAAATATTCCCTCAAATTAGTAAATATCCCCATAAAATAAACGGAACGTATTCTAGGAATAACTTTTGTTTTTTATCGTGGTATTTTTTTTTCTTTCTTAAGATTATTTATTTTTTCTAAATTAATTTATTTCAGGATATGTTTGGCATTTTATTTATTTAGTAAAGATGATTTAATTATTTCTGTGACTATTATTTAAACCTGTTTTTTCTTTTGTTTTTCCTTAGTTTTAATACAGAGTCTCTTTTATTTAATATTCTTCTATTTATATATATATACATATTGTAAAGGAAGAAAATATTCTAACATAGTTAACTTTGGAAAAAGATTTGCTTCTGATTCTTCCCTTCCCCAGGTCCACTCGGCGAGCTGCGTTTGGTAATAAAACCAACATTGCGTGTTGACGTCACAGAATTACAGAGTTTAATCCAATATAAGACAATGCATACACTTTAGAAATAAGACAATGCACAAACCTACACCAGAAACTGCAGAACAACAGAGACATACATTCCATTACCTGACATAGGAGGAAAGAAAGCAAAGAGTACAGAGACATCTTTGGAGAGTTGCAAGGGCAAATCTGATCTTTTTCTTCTATTTAGAAAGCTTTATCCTCTTGTATCTAATCCATTCAAAAAGGGGCTGGCCCTCGGTCCTCCAACCAAACGCCATCTCTGACACTGCTAGGGCTTCCCCTTATTTACTGCAAACATCTGGGGTCATTTGCTTCTTTGTTTTAACAAGAAAAGGCGGAAAGCTTGTCCTGGCATCTAGAATTCCTAAAGTCATAAAACACAAGATAAGCTCCCACAGACAGCTTGTGGAATGCGGGGGGCCTCACCATCCCTGGTTGTTTATTCTGGAAGACTTTTGACCTTCTGTAAACCAAGCAGAAATCTCTCCTGCAGGCTTAACTGTTATTCACCCCCCAGGAGATACTCATTCTATGGGCTGGTGGTCTAAATACTTACCCATTAGTAGTTTTAAATCATTAACACAGCCTTGTTCAAAATTAAGAAATATGTTCAAGTGAGAGTGTTTACACATGCCATAAGATTAACTGTATTAAAGTCTAAAAATAATCATTTTTCTTTAACAATATATATATATATATATATATATATATATATATATATATATATATATATATATATATATATATATTTTTTAATTATTTTTTTTTCTTTTCTAAATGTATTTATTTAATTTTTTGAAGCTAATTTACACAGATAAAACTCTGCCTGTTGTTTAAAAAAAAAAAAAAAAAAAAAATATATATATATATATATATATATATATATATATATATACATTATTATTTTTTTTTTTATTGTTAATAACTGTTCTTATTTGTTTAATTTTCATTGAAACAGCTCTCCATAGATGACTGGCCATGATGGGATCACATTTTATACATTCCATCTTATTTTTTAATACAATATAAATAATTTTGTTGTAGGAACAGAATGAAAAACGTTTGTTTGTGAAGTAAAGCCTCCAGAGCAGGTGAAGCAGGACTGAATGCGACTCGTCTGCAATTATTCTAAAATGCTGTGATGGAGTGATGTGCTGGAATACATTAACAGTGTTATGACATCCTGGTTTAATACCAAAAAGTCATGAATTTCATTGTGAAACTTTCCCTGAGGCTGAACACGTTGCATCTTTAATTTATTGCTTAGACTCTCTCCTAAACGCACAGACGGACGCCCGATCCGCCAGCAGCCACTTACCGCCAGAACGTCTCTCAAATTGGATTCCTCTCCAGCTCTGCAGCCTCCGCCTCATTCTTCTGTTCCCCCAAATTGTTTTCACATTGATTTCTGAACGCTTCGGAGCTGCGTTACAGCTGGGTTCTGTTCAGAAGCGTGAAAACAAGGCGCAGTTCTGCCAAAAGGCCAGACGCACAATCGACACGAGCGTCCTGATGTAACGCATGTAACCAGATCCCCTCTGCGTTGTCCTGGTTAGTAGTGAGGGACTAAGCTGTGTCTAATTGGGACGTTACGGGATCCCCATTTATTCTGATGAGAGGAAAAATAAAATCATCCAAATTCCATAAAAAACAAAACTAAATTCCTGCTCATTTACTGCTGAGCTGAAATAATGATTTTTATAATAATTTGATATGAAGAATCAACTCATTTTTTAATCCAATCTTTACCCAGAATAATGGTAAAAACCCTAAAACATAATCTGCTTACAGCAGTAATAAAAATACAAATATAAACTATGAATGATATTTTTTTTCCATTAATGATTAAATTAGTTCTTTATAGTATGATAAAAGATATTTACATGTTGACATAATTTTTTCATTTTGTCATTTGTATTTCATTTTTTTCTAAAATCACCTTAACTTAGAAATGTTCATTTACTGAAAGTATATGTTTTTTTAGATTATTTAATTTTAAATGTCTGTCTTTTATTAACCAAAAAGTGACCTAAATACAGAACAAAGTTTCATTATTTTATCATTATTTTTATATCTATGAAATAAAAGGAAAAAAACGGATGTAAATATGTTGATTCTCTCAGCAAAATGTAGTTTATCACGGTTTATAGAACTAGTGATTAAAAATTAGGAACTTTGCTTAAACAATTATTAACTCTTTTTAAGGATTGAGACTAATTATAAACTTTGGGCATGTAACTCCGCCTCCCCCCTGCGCCATCTTTGTTCTTTATTGCCGCTGTTCTGTCTGATGAGCTTACCCGGTCAGATCAGCATACCCATAGCCAGTACCCGTTTATCCCTTTAGTTTTGTACCAAAATACAATGTAAACTACCTCAACGGGTGTGTTTCCCTTTCATCATGTACAAAAAACAATTAAATAACTTTTTTTTTTTTTTAAGCGTATGGCGATCTAACCTTTAATAGTTTTTTTGTACATGACTAAAGGGATACATGCCCATCAAGCTAAACTAAAGTGAAATCAGAATCAAATAAGAGGAAAACAAACAACTGTTTAAAGTGACAGTGAGGCATCTTTCAGTCGTAACTCATCGTTCTAATATATGTGAGAAAATATTTTGATGCCGATGCTAACGGCTAACATCCTCAGTTAGAAAATGGAGCTCTTTGTAGCATAGCACTTCATCTGGGTTAGCATCTCCTAGCATCTCCGCTCTCTTCCTCTGTTTAGTTCTCCTTATCTTCATCACCTCTTGTGATTTCTACATCATCATCAATTTCCACTGAAAAGGTTTAAGATTACTGATGTTTTAGCGGGACAGAGCTAGCGCTTCAGGACCTAGCATAACTCATTTAGCCAGAATGCATTGCAGAATAAACAACACGGCGACTTCCTTGTCAGAATGTTTAAACCACTCTCCGATGGTTGACCATAAGCCTTCCTCTTCCAGCCGGAGCTCCATCTACCACAGCGTTGAAGGACCCCTCACCTATGTCCTCAACGGGGAGCTGATCACCGAGCCGCGCCCTCTACCTCCGCCCCCCATCCTGCCCCCGCTGCCTTCACAGCCCTTGGCCACCCACACCTCCCAGGCCTCCTTCGTCTCGGCCCTGGCCATGGAGGAGGAAAGCTCTGTGGAGACGGAGAAGATGGCTGAGCCCGGCCCGGTCACCTGCCAGCCCCACGTCATGGCGTGCTACCAGAACTACCTGGGCCACTATCAGGTATCGTCTCCTTTCCAATGTTTGCGTCGTTCTTTGGCATGTTGGCTGAAACCGGGTTGTTTTTTTTTTCTCCGTCAGGTTTCAAACTGGTCCGTCAAGCAGCCGACCAATAAGAGGACTTCTAAATCCTCCCTGCATCGACCTCTGGATCTGGACACGCCCACTAGTGAAGAGAGCTCCGCCTCCTTCGACCAGCTGTCGGTTCCCATCTTTAAGGTCTGACTTCAGTCCAGAGCCGTTTGTTGCTACAGCAGCATGAGGCGGGTTCTGCTGTTCCCACTGGTTCTACTGGTTCCTCTGGCTCCTTTGGTTCCTCTGGTTCCTTTGGTTCCTTTGCTTCCTCTGGTCCCTTTGGTTCCTCTGGTCCCTCTGGTCCCTTTGGTTCCTCTGGTCCCTTTGGTTCCTCTGGTTCCTTTGGTTTCTCTGGCTCATTTGGTTCCTCTGGTTCCTTTGGTTCCACTGGTTCCTCTTGTTCCTTTGGTTCCTTTGCTTCCACTGGTTCCTTTGCTTCCTCTGGTTCCTTTGGTTCCTCTGGTTCCTTTGGTTCCTCTGGTTCCTCTGGTTCCTTTGGTTCCTCTGGTCCCTTTGGTTCCTCTGGTTCCTTTGGTTCCTTTGCTTCCTCTGGTCCCTTTGATTCCTCTGGTCCCTTTGGTTCCTCTGGTTCCTCTGGTCCCTTTGGTTCCTCTGGTTCCTTTGGTTTCTCTGGCTCATTTGGTTCCTCTGGTTCCTTTGGTTCCACTGGTTCCTCTTGTTCCTTTGGTTCCTTTGCTTCCACTGGTTCCTTTGCTTCCACTGGTTCCTTTGGTTCCTCTGGTTCCTTTGGTTCCTCTGGTTCCTTTGGTTTCTCTGGCTCATTTGGTTCCTCTGGTTCCTTTGGTTCCACTGGTTCCTCTTGTTCCTTTGGTTCATTTGCTTCCACTGGTGCCTTTGCTTCCACTGGTTCCTCTGGTTCCTTTGGTTTCTCTGGCTCATTTGGTTCCTTTGGTTCCTCTTGTTCCTTTGGTTCCTTTGCTTCCACTGGTTCCTTTGGTTCCTTTGGTTCCTCTTGTTTCTTTGGTTCCTCTGGGTCCACTGGTTCCTTTGGTCCCACTGGTTCCTCCGGGTCCTTTGGTCCCACTGGTTCCTCTTGTTCCTTTGGTTCCTTTGCTTCCACTGGTTCCTTTGCTTCCACTGGTTCCTTTGGTTCCTCTGGTTCCTTTGGTTCCACTGGTTCCTCTTGTTTCTTTGGTTCCTCTGGGTCCACTGGTTCCTTTGGTCCCACTGGTTCCTCCGGGTCCTTTGGTCCCACTGGTTCCTCCGGTTCCTTTGGTCCCACTGGTTCTACTGTCCCTCGTGTTTCATATCCACAACCAACTGCCATCAGGTTCTGCTGAACATGACTGATGGGAAAATGACGGGTACTTTTGGGTCCACTGTACATCAGTCAGAGACAGAACGGAGGTCCAGTGTTCAGAAGCTCGGTTCTATAGAACCAAACTGCTTCTTTCTACTGATTCTGGTCATGAAGACTCAAAGTTTTAGATCCCAGCAGCCTGAAGGAAAAAGCTTTGATCCAGAACTGTGGTTCTGCTCAGCACTGCCTTCTGGTTCTGGTTCTGCTGAGGTGTTTTCTCTTTTTGCATATTTAGGCCCGAGCAGCATAGCGCTGCGAAGGCCTATTGTATTTCGAAAGTTTCTTATTAGGCCCGAGCAGCAAAGCGCTGCGAAGGCCTATTGTATTTCGAAAGTTTCTTATTAGGCCCGAGCAGCAAAGCGCTGCGAAGGCCTATTGTATTTCGAAAGTTTCTTATTAGGCCCGAGCAGCTCACCGCTGCGAGAGCCTATTGTTCCTGTATCGTTTGTTATTATTATTATTATTTATTATTTTTCTCCGCGTAAAAGAAACAGCATTTTGGAGGCTTTAACATGCCCAAAAACTCACCAAACTTGGC